AGCCCATTGGGCTCGGGAGATATCTCGCAGCAACCGAAAGACCAGCAGCGAGTAGACACATAAGTATCCAGATGGCATACCCTCCGAGAAATTGGGTTCTTGCTCCGACTGCAAAAAGACTTGTGAAAAGGGCTGGAGAAAAAGCCCTCAAGGCACTGACACCCGTCAAAGCCAGAGCATTCAGTGTGCCTAAGACTCTTGGGGAAGGCGCGACATCATTGATAGCAAGCTGAATTGCCGTGAAGCTCATGCTGACACCACAACCGATGGTCAACAAAACTGGGACGAAGACCCAGAAAACCTTGAGCGAGCCCTCGGTGTGCATGCGCAAGAGGACATTCCCAAGGGGGCAGGATAGGAAGAAGAACGGATAACAATAGGCGCAAAGGCGAATAACCCCGTTCGATCCGATCTTTCGTTGCAGCGGAGGAAATACCAGGAGGAGCCAGGCAGCCTGTGCGGCACCGTTGAGCCCCATCATTATGGAGATCTGGAAAGGGGTGAAGCCGAAGCCACCCAGATGAACTTTAGTGTACCAAAAGACAGGAATAATGGCCGTATAGGCAAATGCGAGCACCATAACGTGTCCGTACACATAGAGCACTGTGCCAACGCCTGGGGATTTCAAAAGCTGCCAAGTTGTCAGGTCACCGCTGCGGGAGGGTGCGGCGGATGCAGTTTCGTCACCATCACCCTCCGCGGCAGGTGTCTCTTTCTTCAAAGTCTCCTTGATGAATAGAGCACTGGAAATGGCAGCGGTAGCTCCGATAGTTGCGACAACCAGACTTGAGAGTGCATAGGGGTAAACCTTGAAGAAGTGATTGGATCCAAAAACGCGTGGGAATTGACGGACGGGATCAGCAAGGGCACCACCGAGGAGCGGTCCTAGGAATAGGCCCAAGTTGCCACTGAAAGCAAACCAGCTAAATGCACGAGCCTGGGTCTTGGGCGTGCTGTGCTCGGCCACCATCGTACGGATAGTAACGATGGTTCCGGCGAAGACACCAGCAACGCATCGAAACATGATCATCTGTGGGATACTTTTTGCCATTCCGAACAAGCCAGTTGCCAAAGTCACGCCGAACAAGGAGAAGACCAGCACCGGTTTACGCCCGAAACGGTCTGCTGCTCGGCCCCAGAAAAGCATGACGTGGGCTTGAGTCAGAGAGAATAGTGACTCGATGAGCCCGCTATAGAAGCCAATATCCGAGTCTGAGACGTCCCCATTTTCTTGAACCATTTGACTGACATAGGGGAAGATGGAAAAAAAGGCCAATGGCTCGATCACTCGGGCATAACAAAGCAGTAGGATCTGGGTGATGGGTAGAGGTTTCTCATCCTCTTCCCCGTCATCAGCAGTGTCGTTTTGAGGCGATGAGCCATATGGAGAGCTGGAGTTGCGTTCTGCCGAGCGCGTGATGGCCTTGGACCCTAACAGTGCAGTCAACTCATCCACGCGACCGTCAGCATCGCCATCAGCGAAGGCTTCGGGTGACATTGACGGGAAGCCGCAGCTCGGTCGTGAAGCTGCCCGTTTGTGTCTGGCGTGATAGGCGCCTTGTCCAAATGTTGCAGCTAACCGAGCGAGATTGAGCAAGGAGAACTCGGAATCGGACTCCCACAATCTGGAATAACTTTAGAAGTGGAAAGTGCTCTTCCTGCAGGTGAGATGTGAGATGTGAGATGTAACGGAGACTTCTTCTTGCGTGTGGCCGGTGGAGCCGGGCGGTCGGGCTGGCCAGATGGCGTGCCATCCGCGCAGACAGGGAGAATTATGTAGCTGTCGTTACTCGGCATTTACTGGTTCTACTGGATGAGCTTCAAGTTGTCTTCATTTCGTCCTGCATGAAATAGCCGTTTCGAACTAGGCAGGAATTTCTTGCTTTTTCAATACAGAAATGAAAGGGAGCCTTGAATTTATGGTTATTTATTCCATGCTGTGGAATTTTAGCAGGGGTTCATCTTTGCTTGGCAATATATACCGATAGGTCAAGTTAAACTTAAATCTGAATGTGACAGCCCTGATCTAGATCGCGTCCACGGGGTTGTCAAGTTTGTACCCCGATGAATCCCCCCCTCTGTCTGGCATTGATGCCTCGATCCGGTTTCTCTGGAAAGTGAACGAACGGGGGAGATTTTTGCCGACTGGCTGATTAACTAAGAATGCGTTGAGACTCAGAGTCAGCGGGTAGGTATTTTTGGCCTTCGACATCTGTGTATTAAGTATGATGGCGTATAGTAGTATAGAATTACATATAACCTACCTCTTTGGTAACGATTTAAAGACCATCTCGCGCCCCTGCAACCGCGTACTCACAGTGCCATTTTTCTGCCTGAGGGCCTGATTTTATGCATCCGGCGGGGCTGACATAACTGATATTAATTGCTCCGCTTCGCTCCGCAATTATGCAGTCCCAAAAGGGCAAGGAGCACGAAGTTGGTGATGCGCTAATCGCCACGAGACAAAGCGTAGCGGGGAACCTCGTGTAGGCCCCGCGGTCCAACCACGAACGCCTGATTGCATTGCATTATTGACACCGAGATTTCTCGTCGCGGAGATTTTCGATTTCACAACCCACAGATTCATTTCAGCCGGTCGCCTGTGACAAAGGCGGGATACAGTGAAACAATGTCTTTCATTGCGATCGTGGTCATTGGGGTAAGTTTTTACCAGATCAAAGTCTTATCGTTCTAAACCAGCTCCTCAACATCAGAATCTTATAGCTTGCAGCATGGTTGCTTTGGACTGTGGTCTACAATCTATACCTCAACCCCCTCGCGAAATTTCCGGGCCCGAAATTGGCAGCGTGTACCAATCTGCAAAATATCTATTGGACTCTAACCGGACAAGAGCACTACAAATTCAAAGAGTTACACGATAAATACGGGGACGTTGTTCGAACAGGACCGACATCCCTTGTCTATCGAAGCCCGCAGGCGTGGAAAGATATTTATGGTCACCGCAAATCTGGGGCCGGATCCTTCCTAAAGGACCCATCAGTTTACATCCGTGGCCCTCGAGGTCCCAACATCGTCAACGCGGATGATGAAGACCATTCTCGCCTCCGAAGACTTTTCTTACCCGCCTTCTCGGAAAGAGCGCTTCGAGACCAGGAGGATTTGGTTCAGTCCTACGTCGACCTGCTCGTCCAGCGGCTCAATGGTGAAATTTCCGCATCTCGATCAACCGTTGACTTGAGTCGCTGGTACAATTTCACTACGTTCGACATAATCGGCGATCTAGCCTTTGGTGAGCCATTTGGATGTCTTCGCGATAGCAACTACCACCCTTGGGTGAAGATGATATTTGGCAGTATGAAACTGCTTGCAATGCAGCGGCCTTTGGGGATATATCCATTCTTGGCACCGATCGTGAGAAAGTTGACACCCAAAAGGCTCACAAAAATGAGACAAGAACATTTCGCTCTGAGCATTGACAAGGTACATCGCCGGCTAGCGACAAAAACCGAGCGCCCGGACTTCATGACCTATGTCATGCGCTTTGGGGATGAGAGATCAATGAGTACACAGGAGCTGGAGGCAAATGCGGCCCTTATGATCGTGGCTGGAAGTGAAACAACAGCAACTCTACTCTCTGGATTGACTTATTACATGCTAGGAAATCCTTCCGCATACCAGAAAGCTACAAGCGAAGTCCGTGCAGCTTTTAAATCTTATTCGGATATCAATGTTTTCCGGGTCAGTAAGTTAAATTATCTAAATGCCGCTTTCGAAGAGGCATTGAGAGTATACCCACCAGCCCCAGGTATAACACCTCGTGTTGTTCCAAAGGGAGGGGCGGCCATTGACGGAGAATTTATCCCAGGAGGAGTAAGTCTCGATCAAGTATTGAAAAATTCTTTGAAGATACTAATTATCTTAGACCTCCGTCTCTGGTGCGCATTATTCTACATATCATGCCGCGTCCCACTTCAAACACGCAGATGCCTTTATCCCAGAAAGATGGCTGTATCCCAAAGACAAGGAGTTTGATTCAGATTGCCGGGCAGCCTTTCAACCATTTTCGCTAGGACCTCGAAATTGTATCGGTCGAAAGTGCGCCCCCCACCATAGAATCACTTCTATTAATTTGAAACTGACATCTTGCAGTCTCGCCTACGCGGAAATGCGGCTAATCGCCGCGAAGATTCTGTGGAGCTTTGATATGTCCTTGGACGAGAGTTCGTCGGAGTGGAATGTTCAGAAGTCATACATTGTTTGGGAAAGGAAGCCATTGCTAGTTAGGCTTTCGCAACCGCCGCATAGCAGACGAGAAGGTGATTATTAGCGGTACCTATTGTTGCTGGTGGAATATCAATTGGTGTATTCTTTTCTATTGGCGATGATATTTATATAAGGTCATATTGTCAAGTTCTGTGAACATCAAATGAGAAGTTTCAGAGATAGCTAAATGTAGAAAGTGCCAGAATATCTCAGATTGCTGATGACTTCGAAATCGTCAAATAAGTGATAGCAGAACTCCACCTTCGATGACGCTCCCAGGAAACCACCATTGTCAGATGGCGGAAGCATTCGATCACGAAAATATTCCGGTTTTTATGTGTACGGCAGGTCGATGGTCGTCCTGGGAGCATCGCGTGATATCTCATTGCGCAGCTCAGGGAGGCTCAATAAAGGGAAAATGTCATGGAGTACATAATCCTTGGAGATTTTGCCTTCTGTGCATATTGGAGAGGAATGCGAAAGAACTAAGTCGTGATGAGGTCACAAACGGGGGAAGACGAGCGAAACCCAGCGCAGTTTGTTGTTGTTAAAATTGGATTTCCGTCCTTTGACAGGGTGAATTAATGAGGCCAAGTCTTGGAGCTGATGGCTAGTCTACATTAGGCTCAGCCCCCCTCGTGATAATTGTGAATTGGGGATGTGGTGGGGGCCAACTTCCGCTGCCCGTCCTGATCTCCCTGTTCTATATCCCCCCCTCTAGCCCCAACTGGGCTCCCGCAAAACGTCTAACTTGATGATTTGCGGGCACTGTCTCGATGGCGCATCCTTCGGTATCGTCAATAATTCAGCCATCAAGCCATCCTCGCCCCCGCTTCCGACGGAACTTCCTGATCGCGATAATATGCGCGTTGCCACTGGAGTACGACGCCGCTGTCCTTCTTATCGACGAGTTCTGGGACCTGAATGGCAATCAATACGGACGCGCGGATGGAGATAGGAACACATATAGGAATGGGAGGATCGGTGCGCACAATGTTGTGCTCATGTTGCTGCCCGCCATGGGCACCGCAGCTGTTGCGGGGTCCGCAGCGAGCCTGCGCACAAGCTATCCCGCACTTCAAATTGCATTCCTGGTGGGAATTTGCGGAGGGTCACCTGGCATACAAGCGGCCTTTTTGGGCGATGTGGTCATCAGCGACGGGGTGGTTCAATATCTCCTCGGTCGGCAATATCCTGAAGGCTTCGTGATGAAGGGTATCAGCGAGGGAAACGTGCATGCGCCGAACAAGGAAATCCGAGGTCTGATTGCATATTTCAAAACCGAGGCCCGGGAGGAAGGAATTAGAAGATGGGAGTGCGCATCATCTCAAGGTCTTGCAGGATGAATCTGTACTGAAGAATTACAATTCGAGCTATGAATATCCTGGTCTCGCCGAGGACAAGCTTTTCAAGTCAACATATCCTCACAAACACAGGGGTTTTCCTTCGTGCAACATTTGTTCTGGGGAAACCGACTTATGCGATGAGGCTACCCAACACTCTTGTTCGGAGCTTGGCTGTGATGAATCCCATCTAGTTAGGAGAACGCAATTTAAATCGACCCAGAGACAACGATTAGAGCAGGCCAAGGCTCGTGGCCCGGAGATCCTCATCGGACGGGTAGCTTCCGGGGATACTGTCATGAAATCTGGAGAACATCGTGATAGGATTGCCAAACGGCACAATATCATTGCGTTTGAGATGGAGGGTGCCGGCCTCTGGGATGAAATCCCCACCGTTGTCATTAAAGGTATTACGGATTATTCTGACAGTCACAAAAATAAAATTTGGCAACCCTACGCGGCGGCAACTGCAGCTGCTGTAGCAAAGGCTGTAATGGAGCGATACATCCCGAATGACAATATCGAGAGTATGATGGTCCCGGCTGGTAGGTCCCGAGAAACCGTTTCAACCCCGAAGCCCACAAGCTCTACTAATATCCAAATTGAAAACGCTTCAGCCAGAGACCGGAAAGACACAGACTCGAGAGCAGTGAGCTCAGCCCCCTTACAAACTCTAACCTCTTCGCAAAAACCAAAGATGAAGCAGACCGATACTTGGTGGACTTTGGAAAATGCCATCCTCAACTTTCAAATGGGCCTTGATGAATTGCAGCGTCGCGAACTACAAAACATCAAAACTGTTCCGGATTCCGATGCTGTCTTGATATTTACCGCGCACCTCGACTCTCGGAATAGGAACAGGAAAGGATCCAGTGTTGCTAGCAGATTATTCTCGGTCTTACAATCTGCGCGGGACTTTTCCGACGTCGTCGATAGCTTTGGCTCAGCTCGTTCAAACTTATCATTTCTTGTTTGGGGCAGTATAAAGATGACTATCCTTGTGAGAACTTGACGATATTATGCGCTTATTCAAACTTTGAGTACTGACCTTCTTTAGCTTGCTTTCGAATCTATCACGTATTACGAAGCGTTATCCGAGATTTTCATGAAAATTGGCAGACTTTGCCCGGTATTTCAAGACTACTATAGAGTTTATCCAACTTCGGCGACGCTACAAAAATCACTTTGCAATTTCTTCACATCGCTCATTGCATGTTGCAGGCAAGTGGTTGACATCGTGAAGCGAAAAGGTATGGTGTTATCTTGAGAGCCGAATTTTTGTTTCTGAAATTGACAAATAAAGCAAGACCTGAGATACTTTTTCGAAGGCTCCCAGAGTTTTGTTCTGCGAGGAATTACGCCTCAGGTCAATGAAATCCAAAGATGCAGCGTACTCTTTCGCCAAGAGTTGATGACGGCCCTGACAGCCGTTGAGCAACCACATGTGAAAGGCCCAGGGGAGGAGCCGTCAGAAGGACGGAGCTCAAAGGACCTTTTCAAATGGGCGAGCGGTAAAGCTGAAGCGGCGCGAAAGCTCCAGGTCCAAGCTGAAGAGGCGCGGATCGCCAAGCGCCGGCGCAAAGAAGAAACCCAGGAGCTACTCGAATCACTCTCAGCGCACGACTTTTTAACACCACTGAAACAAAGTCGTCGAAAGCGTCAGAATGGAACAGGCGAATGGCTATTTGAAACATCCGAATTTGTTGATTGGATTCATGGGAATGGTGCCCCTGTGTTTTGGTGTTCTGGGAAGAGTTGGTCTTCACTCCCGCCAATTTCTTGAGCAGTACTGACTAACTAGCATTTAGTTGGATCGGGTAAAACCATTCTCAGGTCTGATTCCCTACTCTAGCTCCTTCTTTAAATAGTACTAATGAATTGAGCAGTGCGGGTGTGATTGACAGGATCTTGACAGAGAAGCGCGGCTCAGATACCTTCATGTCATTCTTTTTCGTTCAATTCGATATTCACCAGTCGTTACAGGCAGCGACAGTTCTAAAATCGATAATCAGGCAGGCTCTCAGCCAGTCCGATGTTTCTGATCAGCAGAAGGCTTTATTAGAGCATATCCAGAGTGAATTAGAACCTGGGCCTGAGGATCTCACCACGATCCTCCTGACCATTGTCGCAAGATGCAAGAGGTTCTACATAGTTATCGATGGGCTGGATGAATGTGAGAGTATGGATCGCGATGAGGTCTTAAAGGCTCTCCGCTCACTTTTGGACGGAACTCAAAAAGTTTCAATTTTCCTTGCTAGTCGTGAAAGTATCTCCGATCAGATCAAGAGGACATTCGCGCATCAATTCCATCATATCTCTACAGCAGCACCATCTGCGGAATCAGAAATTGCGACTTACGTCGATGCCGCAATCGAGGACAAGCTGCGTAGAGAGGATTTGAATGTTGGAGACCTCAATCTGATTAACGAGATCAAGATAGCATTGACTAATGGAGCGGATGGCATGTAAGTTTTGACTATTTCCAAATGTTGCTAAAATGCTGATGGTTCCAGGTTTCTTTGGGTGGCATTCCAAATTGAAGAGTTGTGCTCACGGCACTGCGACGATGAAATCAGAAAGGCTATCAGAGACCTCCCGAAAGACTTGACAGAGACATTCAACCGCGCTCTTCGTCGAATTGCTTCGAGTCAGCATGCAGACATTGCCCAACGATGTTTCCGATGGGTAGCTGCTGCACAAAGACCTTTGACTCGTGATGAACTCAGAGAGGCAATTTCTATTGAAATTGGTCAGCTTCACTCGATAGAAGAGCGACTTACGAATGGAATTCATCTGATTTCCTCCTGGTGTGAGAATCTTCTTGTTTGTGACGAAGAGAAGTATATTGTTCAGTTTGCGCATCATAGTGTCCAGGAGTTTCTCACAACAGAACAATCATGCCATGATCCACACCCCGAGCTGGATACCTTCCATTTCAAGCTCCAGGATGCTGACCATTTCATTGGGGAAATTTGTGTCAGCTACCTGAACTTTGATGATTTGAAAACGAGTCTAGCTCGGCCCCCACAGACGCAACGGCCACACCATTCCAAACGCTCTCTTCCGCGTGTGCTTCCTTCTGACATAGCCTGGAACACTTTAGGAAATGTATGGTCGTCAAAAGTCCCTATGCACGCCCTTAGGAGATTTATGTCTGGGTCGGAAGTCCAGCACTCGATGTTGGACGTCGTTGGGAATCTAGCAAATTTCAATGAAGATCTTACTCCGCCTACGGGAACATCACAGCCTGAGCATCCGTTCTTGGAATATGCTTCCATGCACTGGCTCCACCATACGAAAGAATTTCAAAAGGGTGTTTCCAAAACTTGGAATCTTTGGCAGAAAATGGCCAGATACGGACACAATCTGGCCCAGTTCCCCTGGGCGCCAACTTCACTGGAGCATCACTTCCAACATCGACAATCTAACGATTATGCTAGTGATACTTATATCGAAGATCTTTTAGACTCTCACCCCGAAGGAGAGGAGTACCACCCGCTGAGGTGGGCCTTCAATAACCGCCACCGTGCCATTCTGTGGCTCATATTCCATGCCGACCCAAGTCTTCCCATCAATATGTATTATAGGCTTACGGTGTCTTTGATCGAACGATCGATATGGGAACAAGATGTTCAACTCCTCGACGTTATTTTATCTGGCTCTAACAAGCTACAACATCTTTTGGATCTGCCTGTGTATGCAAGCAACAATGCACTGCAGGCAGCTGCTAGCGCCGGCTACCTCGAAGTCACAGAAATGCTCCTCGCCGCTGGAGTCAACGTGGATGCAACTACACCAATAAATGGGGCCAAGACGGCACTGCGTTTAGCTGCGGAAGCAGGACACTTGGCAGTCACTGCGAGGCTCATCGAGGCAGGAGCCGATTTGAACCTGCATCTTGGGTCTGGTTATAATGGTCTGACTGCGCTGCACCTCGCTGCTACAAAGGGACATTTTTGGATTGTTGAACTCCTCCTCACGGCGGGGGCAAATGTACATTCCTTAACTTTTGGTGATGAGATACTAACTGCCTTGCACCTGGCCGCGAAGTCTGGGCACTTAGAAATCATCACCAGACTTCTGAAAGCAGGGTTGGATGTGAATAACAATGTAAGACCTAGGGGTAGAGGTCTCACCCCCCCTTCATGTTGCTACTAAAGCGGGGCATCTCAAGGCTGTCGAGTTGCTCCTCGATATGGGGGCAAATGTCAACATCTATCTTCCGCAGCAGGCAAATGCCAACGTCCATCTCCCGCTGCATGAACATAAAAATGCATTGCATCTTGCTGCTGAGGCGGATCATTTTGAAATTGTTCGACTTTTCCTCGAGAAAGGCTCAGATCCGAATGGCTATATTTCCCCTCTTGATGAAGGACTAACTCCAATGCATCTGGCAGCCAGAAGAGGGCATAGCGGAATTGTTCAGCGGCTCCTCGAAGGCGGAGCACGGGTAGATTCCCGGCTCAGTCCAGCTGATGGAAATCACACGGCACTCTATATAGCTGCCGAGGAAGGACATATAAGCACCATGCTGGTGTTACTAGCGGCGGGGGCAGATGTGGATGCTCCTTCTACTGTAAATGGATATCGGACTGCATTGTTCACGGCTGCCCTATATGGGAAATCGGCTGAAGTTGTCAGATTCCTCATTAAAGCGGGAGCAAATGTGAACGCTACTCTGGGTTCTGATGAGGGAGGGTGGACTATCCTAGACCTTTGCTCTGAGCAAGGGGAGATTTATGATATGCTCGTCGCCGCCGGGGCGGTTGCTAGTATTGATGCTAGGGCAGCAGCGGTTTGGAGACAGGATAATATTACTAGTAACGAAAAGTGGTAACAGAATGTCTTCCCCCAGGGCTGAAACTTCGTTTTGTCCCAACCGTCCATAGCCAGCTTTCTTTTGTTGCATGCCCACTTCTTCGTTCTTCTTGTATATAAATCCCAGACCTGCCATTGAGTCGATTCCCTCCGCCTTGTGCATGCACATGCAGTAAAGATTCAAGCTATCTCACACCATGACGCATCTGGGTATCAAGAGGCCGCTGCTATTTTTAAATCGCGAGGCCCGCGAGATTGGCCTTTCTTAGACTTGTCAGGAAGGTATCGAAATGCGCTTGCGCAGGGCTCGACAATGCCATGCCTCCATGCGTCGATTCAACCCCAACGTGACGTGTTTTATATTCCGCCTGGCTGGCTTGATTACTCACTGGGCTATTATATGGATCAACTTGAATATGTGAATAGGGACACGGAAATTGTTCATTCAGAACTAGCTGACGCGACATATCTTTTACCAATTGATATATACTAGTAGCTTTTGATTCTCGTTTGTATTTGAATCAGAGGGAGCGATGTCTCCGGAAAATGCAAAAATTGGCTTTGAATTCAGATGCCAGCTTGCCATGTTGTTGCCGTGAAGGTGATTGGACTTGCATGCCGTGCACGGGGAGGAATCGAGGTCGTTGATATTCCCTTTGAAATTGTCGACCCCGGCACATCCCCGCATAACCCCGTTCTTGAAGCAACCCCGCAAATTTTGTTGCAAGAAGCGGGCTTGTTATTTGGGAGGATCACGATTGAGATCTGCTCTCGGATTTGCGAAGAATGGGGCAGTCGTTGACGGTGGGAGGAAAGGATGTTTGGCATAGGCGAAGAACAGCTTGAATCAATCAGCTACGCAAACCTAGTCAAAACACAAGTCGCAGGGATTTGTTAACACGACGTACCAGGATCAAAATCGCAAATAATTTGAACGATTTGCATCACGCTGAAGCGCAAAGGATGTGTTGAAAGGGAACAGAATGGAGGGTGGAGGTGTTGGTCGGAGGAGAGAGAACCTTGGAACTTGAAGGTTTACTAGTTTATATGGAAGGCACAATACGGCGGTATCGAGTTGTCGTGCTCACGGGGGTGACGGCGGCTTCACAAGACGCTGCAGGTCCGATGCGATGGAGTATACTCGTATATACTAGGATTTATTCAAATGAGAACCATCAAATGACTTTTCATTCTAAACAAAATACCCCCAAAAGTAAACTAAAATACAACAAGAAGACATATCCCATCCATCTACCCCGTCGAAATCCAATTAACCCACTCACACCCACACCCTCCACTCCCCCATCAATCCCCGGAAGTTGATCATTTTTATCACCCCCGGTGACAGGATTAACCAAAGTCCCCCCCCAACACCCCGATCCTCAACCTGCAGCAATTTTTCCGTAACATTATATTTCTCCCCGCCATCTAGAAGCCCATAACAATAAACTAATTTCTTCACTTCATCGCCGCCGTGTCTATCCAGTGTGATTGTGACTGGGTACGGGAATGAACCGGGTCGAGTATAATCCGTTGCTGAGGAGGATGATGTTGCCGTCGACGATGTTGCCGTTGCCGTTGAACTAGATGCGGTCGTGCTTGTGCCTGTGCTCCCCGCACCACCACCACCCCCATTAGCGGGAAGTAAATTCCTGTTCATCCGATCTGGTCTCGTCCAAATTTGCACAAGAAAGCGCGTTTGGGACCAGGTACACCGGGTCACGGAGTCGGATTGTGTACTTCCGCCATCGGTGTCGTCGGTGTTTTTGTCTATGGGACTGTTGTCTAGTGGGGATCTTGAGGAGAGGAAGATTGATTTGTCGTAGTATGTGTAAAAGCCGTAGTGTTCGTTGTCTTTGTTGCGGTTGTAGAGGCGAATTGGTTGGGAGGAGACGAGGGGGTAGAGGGTTGCTGGGGATGGGGTTCCGTTGTTTGATTCTTGTGGTGGTGGGAAGATGTTTGTAAGGTTTGAGGCTTTTATTCCGGTGGAGGTTGAATTTGAGGTTGAGGTTGAGGAGGAATTGGCTCTTCGGTAGATATCTGCTGTGGATAGGTGTGCTGGGGAGAGGATGGTCATGTAGAAGGGTGTTTCTTCGCCGACGTAGGGTGCTGAGTTTCCGTCTGTGGTATTTCCCAGAAAGGACTGTTCGGCCAGAGCGGGTGTTTCTGGCGATGGAGTCCAGTCGATTTCTCCACGGCGGAATTTTCGTGAAGATGTGCTGACGGCGGTGCTGTTCTCGTATGAGCCGTTTCGGAAGAGGATTTGGATGCGAAAGGTAGGCTCGTCGCCTTTGTAGGGCTTGTTATCGGATTGTTGGTCCTTTGGCAGAGCGCAGCTCCATAGTGACGAGGGCTGGATACATGTCGATGTCGAATCTTGGGTCTCTGTGCCTGCGATCGTGGCGATTCCAGTTGGCATGGGTGGGTAGCCGGTTAGGTTGAGCCAGTTGGACTGGACGGGGGTATCGTCTCCTTTTCTGGTCAGGGTTGTTGCGAGAACGATTGCAACGATGATGATTATTAGGAATAAGGTACATATTCCTAGATACCATCGTCTTCGGAGACGGCCTTCTCGCCCTGGTCGTCCAAAACAACCTTTGTTGCTGAAACAGCCGCGGCCGCGCCAGAATCCACCGACTTTTCTCCCGGCTGCGTCTTCACGTTCTAGTCTGCGGCGTCGGGCTTCCATCGGGGCTACCCGGCCATCGGGGTTCATTTCTGATGTGCCTGGTGCATGGTGTAGATCGTACTGTGGAGGGAGACGGACTTCTTGGTGATCTTCCCTGGGGTATTGAGTATATGCCGGAGCTGGTGCGTTGATATCATGGTTCGTATCACGGCTCGTCTCGTGGTTCCCGCTGCGACTCACTTCGGATAGCTGGATAGCACCTGGGCCTGCCGCTGCACGTTGGAAGCCTGGAGAGATGGGTTCGTTTGAATGTGCTGGCGGGTCAGACACAGTGTCCTCGGATCTCTCTTGTCCCAAACCCCGATCTGTAGCAAGAGGAGGAGCTCTTGGCCAGTCAGATACCTGAGCTTGCGGTTGAGGATGAAACTGTTGTGGTTCCGGCTGGAATTGCTGGGGTGGTGGCATTTCATTATGTGGAGGGAAAACAGGCCCATAATTAGGAACAGGCTGCTGCATAGGTGCCGGCTCTTGAGGTGCTCCATAATAATTGTGTATGATCTGTGGAGGTTGGGCTGGGGGTATCTCTTGAGGAGGCATTGGAGGTGGCGGTACAGGTTCGGGAGCCGGAGGTTGGTAGATAGGCGCTGGTGCTGGAGCCGGTGGTGCTATAGGTTCCTGCAGAGGCGGCTGATAGACAGGAGCTTGGGGAGGAGGTTGAAAGGGTTCCGGCACAGGTGGTTGAACCTGCTCCGGCTGAGCCTGTGGCTGTGATTGCGGCTCTGGAACGAGACCCCTCGACGAATCCTGCGTCGGTACAGGGAAATGTTTCTCATCATCCTTATCCTCCCTCAAAGGCGAGTCCCAAGAATCCGAGCTGGAGCTTGACGCCGGCGAAGAGACCGCCACCTCCTTCGTATGTTCGTCTGGCTTCGGTGAGTCAACATCAATAAGTAAACCTTTCGTTCCTCCCTCCGAAGTCGCAATTCCACGATCCTTCCCAGCTTCCGCTGCATTGTCACCGTGAGCTTCGGCAAAGATGAGCCCTCTATCGCGCGTTTCTCCCGGACATGAATCTGCAGGCGATATAATGGCTCCGGGTGGTGTGATAGAGCAGATGTGGTTATAGCACTCGAAGAAAGGTGTTTTGCTGAATAGTTCGTGGGCGCAGGCTTGATAGTATTCCGCTGCTTCGCCTTGGATCGTTCCATCGGGGAACATCGTTGAGAGTACTGTTTGGCGTTTCTGAACGATTGTCGCTTCGTCATTGTCCAAGGAGCGCGACTGTTCGAGATTCTTGTTCCCTTCGTCCCAGTTTATCACTGCTGTTTGCGGGGTATCTGGTGAAAAGTGGGAGGTCTCTTTCTCCTTCTCGTCCCACCATTCCCGTGTACTCTTCGTTGATGGGGAAACCAGTGCATCGCGAGGAAAGCTCGGACTGAATGGTGACTTCTTGCTGAGGAGTGGGGAGAAGGAGGTATGTCCACCATCCTTGCGATTCGGGACGACTTGCTTGAGTGTTGACACTGAGGCGACTGGCGAGGGGGACTTGGTTGTTGTCGTCGATGGATACATGTGAATGTCCTCGAGGGTGTGAGTCTTCGGGACTGCTCACGTCTGCGTCTTCGAAGATTGTATCGGCGGACATTGAGCGGTGCTTTCTTGTCATTGCGTTTAAATGGGCGCTCAGGAAATCCGAGCCGAGGCCTTTCTTGTGTGCCTCGGGGATGGCTGGGACTGGTGGTATATTTGATTCATTTCCCACTACTCGAGAGATCGGTCGGGAGTAGATGCTGGATGCTGCGCGTGGACGTAGGGTTTCTGGAATGGGTGCTGACCATGGCGCATCTTCACGGGCTGGTGTTACGATTATGGAGGGTGTGAGTGGTGTGTGTTGGTCACCTGTGCCATCGGTTTCCTTTGGTCGATATGATGAATCGAGATATGGTACTGTCAAACCTATCATGACATTTCGGTCGGAGGGAGAAAGACCATCGCTGAATGGGTCCTGGAGATTGGGATCGAGGAATGGGTTGAGGTGAGTCTGAGGGGAGTCATTGTTTGTATCGACTAGTTGCTTCTGCTGCTGCTGCAGAGGCAGTGATCGAGGAACGTCTTTCAGAAATGGATTTGTCTGCTCTTTTTGCTCCGTCCGCTCCTTTCCACGAGCCATGGACAACTGCTTCAAATCATTCAAGTCGACAAATGGAGCGGGCACATTTTCCTCCCCCTCTCCTTCTCCTGCTCCTTATCCTTCTGCTTCTGTTTCTTTGGCGGCGCTGCAAGTGTAAAATCCGTAACCAGATTCAACCCAACCGGTTTCGAGGCATTCTTTTTCTTCTTGGTGATACCGCGCATACTGAGTCTGGTTCCTGGACCCGTAGCCTCGCCATGCCGATCTCGATCTCGATGGGATAAACCCAAGGACGATATCTCACGAGCCAGGGCCTGCCGTTTCTCGACCTTGTGTCTAGTCGCTTTGACGAGGAAGTCGAATGGTCGAGTGCGCTCTAGATCTCGATCCTCTGCAGACGAACATGACGGACTCTCGATTTCTTCGCTGATGGGCGAAGAAAGAGGGAATGTTGGGACGACAGGCACTTGAAGATCTGCTGGCTTTTGCTTTTGTCGATTGAAGACCATTCTGTGATGGTGGTGATGGTGATGCTGGGATCGTAGGACTGCGTGTTATGGTTGGGGCGGTTAGTTTGTTTGTCAGTGCTGCAGTGCAGAGAAGTGTCGACTATCGCATACCATGAAGGGGGGACGCTCAGGAGTCAATAGGAGGAAACAAAGAGATAGTCGATCTATTAATATGTGAACCGAAGACAGTGGCGCCTGAAACAATGCACACGACAAAGAAACGCCCGGGGATGCATTCACTGGTTGGGAGCAGAGACGGAAAAATAAAAACGAAGAGAAGAGAAGAGAAGAAAAAGAAGAGACGAGAAATGAAAGTCGAGACCAAATGCAAAGAAGAACGGAAAATAAACAGATGAGTCAAAGTGGCCAGCGTCGGAAGAAAAGAGCTCTGTTCTGCTGTGCTATGCTATGCGCTGCTCTGCGCACTGCATAGCAGACGTCAAGTAAACGGGCCATCACCGACAGGCCACCAGGGTGCGCTGGCCAATGAATTCGCTGGCAAATCCATGTTCTGCAGCGATCTCAAACAAAGGCAATCAAGATCGGCAGGGGTGGGAGAGCAGGAGACAATTCCATTGGATACTGTAATAAGTCTTGGGGGAAGTGAAAGGTTGAGGTTAACCGCTATGGTGGGCGGGCGCTTAAAGGGAGATCGCTGACTGGTGCGGCCAAAATAGAATCGGGCCTATTTTGAGGGCTGCTAAATGGACCACCCTATTTTGGCCCTTTCTTTTTTTGTCTTTGTTTTTTTTGTTTTTAGCTTGAAACAAGATGGCATTCTGCAGCTTTGACACTAGTTGGTTTTGCTTTGGATTTTACTTTGAGCTTAGGCGCTTGGTTTAATTCCCCGGAGAGCTGGGGGTAGCAGAGTCCACGAGAGTCCATATGAATCTAGAACTGGCGATAATGGCTCGGCCAATTCAATTCAATTCCATTCCATTCCACTCGACAGCGCCTATGGCAGAGCAACTTGGTATACAACGTATGAAAGCAGAAACGCAGAGAAGCAGAATGATATCATCGCATGCCGCGCACGCCTTTTGGGATATTTGGTACACACTCCGAGCAATGAGGAGGAGACGCTTGAAACAGAGTCCAAGGAGAACAAGAAGAAAACAAAATACACTAATCAAATGAGGAAGCAAAGAACTTGAAGCAAAGAGACATTCCCATGATGAACCTATACCGATTCCCAATACCCCGTCATATCCAAAACATGCAGAAATGAGACGAATGCCGTGAGGCGGAACGAGAAGAAGACATTCAACGGTCGACAGAAGAAAAGGAAAAGCAAATGGACGCAAGCGATGGCGCGGGTATGATGGGTGACACAAGAAGATTGGAAGCTTGGAAGAAAAGATAGCCACGCCCTGACAAAATGACAAAATGAAAGCTGAGAGTAGCTGCGAGTAGCTGAGAGTAGAAGAAAGAAAGCCAACCAGCCTCGACAGGCAATGGCTATGGCGATGCAAAAGACCTGAAAGACCTGCAATGCCTCGAGACAGGTCGCGAAAAATACCCAGAGGGGCAATATCTAAAACAAGGGATATATAGGATGACAATATGAAATGGAGGTCGTGGTCGGTGGAGGTGCGTGGGCGTGTTGTGTGCGTGCGTGGTGCAACATGACTAGTTCATTTCTCATTCGTGAGCACGGTGATTTCCCAATCAACGTCACCGTCGCTCATCGGTATACTGAATTCCCTGCATCGGGGCGACGGAGCCATTCATCAGCGGAGGCAGCGTGCGCGGCTGTTGCTGTTGCTGTTGCTGTTGCTGTTGCTGTTGCTGTTGCTGTTGCTGCTCCATCTGCTGAACTCCGTTCCCGAATTGGGCGAAAACTGGACCCGGCGGAGCCTGTCCATTCGTTGGCGTAGATACCATCGGATGGTCGTAGATGGAAGCCGATCGCGAAGGCCCATTGCCTTGCTGTTGATTCAATTGGGCGCGTAGTTCGTCCACCTCGTTGCGGAGGATGGAAGTTTCACGACGCATCTGACCGACCGATTTCTCTAGCGAGCTGATATACTCGATCGCTCGAGTCAAGGTCTCCCATTTGCTCGACTTGTTGTTCTGGGCATGGGGAAGGCGCACGCGGAGAGCTTCGAAACAGTCCTTCATTTCACTCCGGCGCTTCCTCTCGGCGAGTTTATGCGTGACGCGTAATTCGGGAGTCCGGCTGTAGGGTGTGTTTCCGGATGGATCCGCCTCGCCTATCAAGTCGCGGACCTGCTTGTGCTGTAGAGAGTGGTGGTGTACGTTTGGCGGCAGTTCTACACATCCAGTTGTTAGTACAAGGATCGGTGGTCAACCTCGAGGGAGAAGAAGAAAAACATACCATGTTGTCCCCGCGGCATACGCGACTCCGAGTACAAGCTGCTGAGTGATTCGGCTGTGCTTCCCTTCCTCGAGAAAGGCGGATTGGACTTCTCGTTGGAGGAAATGGAGCTTGATCGTGCGACGTCCGGGTCGGGAAAGGCGTAGGCCATACCAGCCGTTGGTGCCTCGGCATTGTAAATCTCCGATCGAGGATTCGAAGAAATCGCCGGTGCCGTGCGACCGCCAGCGAAATTTCGAAGTTCGCTTGGCCGAGGTCCCAAGGGCGACAAGGGCTGGCTGCCCCGGAATATCGCGGTCCTCGATAGGAATTTGCATCATTGGTGATCCCGCGTTCGCGCTGGAGACTCGAGACAATTGAGGATTGCGAGGCATTGGTGCTGTGGTAGGGAGAAGCCGGGTTGATGGCCAGGGAGCTAATGCCTTGGTTCATGCGACTATCCACGCTGCTGCGTCGCGACTCGGAGACGTCGACCACACTCCCCCGCTGCGAGGAAGCGTCATAGTTTTGATTGATCGAGGGCAAGGCGGAATTGGGCTGCGACGAGTGGAAACCAGGCGAGGGGTGATTTGCGCCAGCGGAGGAGGGAGTGGTCGATTGGTCGTGACCGAAGGGCGACCGGTCTGGCACGATGTGATTGCGGTTGGGAGATGGTTGCGAGGTGGAGGTGAGAAAGTTGAGCGAGGGATAGTTGTTGTTCTGGTTATGGACTTGGTTGAGGTGATTGGCAGTGCCATTGGTCGCAGTTGAGTAGGTAGAAGATCCTGTCGGGTCCAACTGGTCAGTATGCGACAAGCCATCCGCCTCGAGACGAGTCGACTTACTTGTGCTTTGCGGCATGGACCAATTCCCCGAGTCCCGTTCGATGGTGTTGAGAGAAGCGTTGCCAGGGGATTTCTCGGTGGGGACTGGGCCTGAGCCCCCATTCATATTAGCCGTCAAGGTTGATATAGAGGGCAAAGTCTGAGAGGAGGCGGCGGGGGTTTGGGGGCCCGAGGGAGGGTGGTGAGGTTGATGCTCCCATGGCCGATGAGTGAGGGAGTCCATGGGGGAGGTGAAGGTGAACAAGAGAAGTCGAGTAGAGTAGAGTAGAGTAGAGAAAGGAGAAGTATAAAGTATCAAGTATCAAGTATAGGGGATTGGATATAGGAAAGAATGAGATAGCGACCGTGTAAATAACGAGGGAAGTGGTCAAAGTCAAGGGAAGTCAGAGTCAGGCATGGCGGAGGGAGAGTTGAAGTGTGGAGAGAGAATCTTCAGTCGAATCAAATCGGGGAAGGTCTGATGGAACCCAACGAAGGCAGATGGAAGGGGGGGGGGGGTCTGCTGTCTGGTTTTGTTTTGGCATTTCTTTTCTTTCCTTTTTTATTTTAGTATTTTCTTTTTATTTCCTTTTTGATTTGGTTCTTTTGGTTCTTTTGGTCTTTTGGTCTTTGGGTTCTTAATTTCTGTGAACTTTGACTTTGGGCTGTATGGTATGGTACAGCGGATACAGAGTGCCAAGTACCCCAGTACTCCACTGTAGGATAGGATAGAGAGTACGAGTACCAATCCCCTCTAGCCCTCTAGGGTAAACTACTCCTCCTCCTACTACTACTATCCTACACTCTATCTAAGTAGACCGAGTACTCTCTTCTCGGTACGGAGGGGTAAAAATAGGAATCTCCTAAATTACTGAATTACTGAATTACTGAATGTATAGGTGTAACTGTATGAATCTGACCATACCATACGCCAAGCCGCTACTGCGCGCAACCTGTGCCACGAGGCAAGCAAGGCTGCAGACTCTCTTGTACAGAGGAGACTTCAACTTGTTACTAGTAGTTAGCATATAGCATATATTATAGATGGTATAGATGGTATAGTATCACCTACGATATACTATATAGTCTAGAGGGTAATCATAGTACATAAATAGCATATTCTTCAATCCTATACTCCATAACATACCTGTACTCGACTGTACGTACGGTACTGCCCCCTGCCGACGCAAGGAGCACACGTTTTTCCCGTATTACATCATGACCAGAGTCTTCACGTCACGAACGTGGTTAAGGAGTCAACCATATTCCTCATTTACTCACATCATCTTCCAATCTCAATTTTCATCTTTGCCAGTGCAACTCTACTCCTCTTTTCTCTGTACTCCGTCTAAGCGGTGCCTGTACCATGCTCCCATTGCTAACCATGTACGAGTAGCTCTGCGCTGCTCCGCTTGTGGCACTCACGTGGAGGCGGGGCCCTTGCGTGGCTGTCTCTGTATGTAATGTACTGTATGTAATAAAGTACTGTACTGTCAAGTACAGAGACAGAGTAGAGTACAGATCTCTGGAGCCTATTCTCACCCTCAACTCGGTATACATCCAACTCACAATTATCATTACTATTTTTATTCTTAGTTACTACCAAGTAACTGTTACCAGTAGACAGATCTAGACCATGCCATCATCTTCCCGTATTGTACTATACGAGACTACCGCCCACAACTAAATCGCCGCGCCAAGGTCACACAAACAGCCCGTGGATCGCCTGGAAGCTTGTCAACTCCGCTCCTCCATGCTCTCTCCATGGCCATTCCTCTCCTCCTCATCTGCTCCTCGACTGGGCCGGGCGATGCACATACCCGTCCCGAATGTCACTCGAGGCCAACCGGCCAGCTGCCGTCCTCAACAACTCAACACCGATCGCCTCTTCCAGTTCCCTAGGTGTCAGTGCCCAACCCAACCTGCTAGCTACCAGCTTAGCCTCGGAGGCTGTGTGACCCTCGCTGCTTGGCATTTGCTCGACCTTATTTGGGATCTCCATTTCAGTACGAGTAGGAGTAATCTATATCCTCCTCAACAGGCAGCAAGATACTGCACCACCGTGGCGCGTTTCAGCTTCTCTCCCTCTCCCTTCTCTCCCGAGTGCAAGTACATGAGTACTCGTACTCCATGTGCTGTATCTACTCCATACAGTACCCCGTATCCACTAGTATCGTCCTTCGACTTAGTCTGCGCTTATCATACAGGGATGCCACATGGCTCCGTAGCCTTGCAGAATGTCTCTGGATCGATCGACACACGTACATGCCAGACCCTCTTGACACCGTAGCAATCTTCCATTCCTCTACCTTAATGATGTCTTCGATGCAGATGTGCAGATGTGGATGTGCAGATTCCAGTGTGGTGGTATTTGTAGTATCTGTAGTATCGGCAGCATCTCTCGCAGCCTTCCCCCGGAATATCTCAGCACCTGGTAGTACTCCGTACTCCGTATGAGTCCACTATAGCCGGCAAAACGGGACTGACCGCAAAAAGCAGAGCCAAAACTGCCGACTCGTATTAAATTTCAAGGGATGGACCAATGTCACCACGATCTGATCTGATCTGTGATCGAGTTATGCAATAAATTTCGTGTGGGTTCGGGCGCGCGGGCCCCCCCATGCCCATGCCCATCCCGCCCATTCCAGATGGTCTATCCTCACTGATCCATGGGCCACGCCAGCAGCGTGGTTCGTGGTTCATGCTCGGTCGTTCATGGTTCGTGGTTCGTGCGTGAACCACGCCTTTTGGGGGCTGTTTTCTATTTTCTCTTTTCTTTTTTGGTTTTTGGGTTTTGGGGTTTTTTTTTTTTTTTTTGCCTTGCGGCGTCTCCAATAGTGCCGTATCTCCACCTCACCACCACCCTCACAATCACTCAGTACAAAGTACATACATACTCCGAACTATGTCTCCGTGCCATTCCCTTCCTGGATCACCGAGCGCCCTTCAATCCTCCTCTCCTCACTATTCCCCTCCGAAGGGGCTTAAAAACTAGTGCCCCCTCGTCATGAATTAGCGCCACGGATAAGATCTCCTGATCGTCGCCAGCCGGGCCTCATCCCCGAAGCTGGGGAGATCAAGCGGAGAAACTCCATTGGTAGATCATTCCATGCTACCCGCCTCTTCTCCCTTTCTTCACCTACCCCCTTGTTGACTGCTCTGCTCTGCTCTGCACGGCTACCGCTACTATGTACTACCGCTACGCACAGAACTACGGATATTACACCCTGCATCTCCATACATCCAATCCAATCCAATTCCCACTCCTCGTCCCATCCCAATGCCCTGGCTCTGTGCTGTGTTGTGCTGTGCTGTTCTCGGCTCCACTCCCCTCCCTCCACCCTCCACCCCCTGGCCTGCGCGCTCGCGTGGATCATCATGATCATGAACTCTCCCTTCCCCATGCCCCAGAGACAATGTTTGGGAGTTCCCACGGGAAATCTTACCCGTCTTTCCAGCAACGCTGACTCGTCATGTTTGACTCCCATGTGTATTTGTGATGCGCTGCACTGCACTGCACTGCGATGCACTCGGCTGCATTGCGGCGCGTTTGCCATATGTACACCGAGGTACATAAGCACTAAGTCCTCGTACTTCGTACTGCGTACTATGTTCGTAATCTGAACCAGACTATCGGTACTAGCTAAAGTAAACGATGTCAACACTAAAGGGGTGGGATCCGATGGGATGGAGCCAGGCCCGGGGGTAGATCAGATCAGATCAGATCAAATTAAAGCCCACCGACCTCCGGAATCAATTATTGGGGTCTATGCGATGTGAGACAGATTGGTCGCGGGTTGCTGCAATATTACTCTGTACTGTAGCTAGCCCATCCCATGCCATCCCGGAGACTTCGCTAACTACGGAGCGCTCGTATGTGCCTTTCACTGACCTCATGTAGCTACTCGTTTAGCCACTCCAAAGGGTTGAGCCATGTGTCAGGGCCAGGGCTTGGGACAGTGCGAGTGCTTGTTTCAGTTTCACTTCTCCGGCGAGTAGATTCGTGGCAATAGTACTAACTAGGTATGCAGTGAGGTCTGTGTCTTTGTTTGTCCGAGTCCATGGGATTTAACTGCCGCTGGTCCCAGTTTGATTAGCCTGTGGAGTAAGTTGAACTACGGTGTGTCGAGTATAGACGCCTACAGAGGTGCCAGTGGCAGTCCTGTCAGAGGGAACAGAGTAGTACTTACTACTTGCTAGTACTGTAACTGGCAGAGCAGCACAATGCCAGCATTACGTCTTCATGACCTCCGGCTTGGAACTTCGTTAATTCCGAGTCTTTAAAATAATTGTCATTGTCTAAGCAGTTCAAGCCCAATAGACCACTTTCCGAGACTGAAACCCTGTTTTTCCTCAATCTTTTATGTAGGGGTCGTCCAATTGATCAATAGATTCGGAATGATCCACGGACACAGATGTATATGTCTGATCTCGCTTGGGCGGTTTCAGGTCCGTGCCCTTCAAGTTCCACAGCCCCGAAGCCCGTTCGAAGAATACGAGAGTTAGGAGGGGTTGATTCGGCTTTCTAAGTCTCTATACTATTCCCAGGTTCTGTCCATGGATACGATTCTGAGAAAAGACTCGATACCGCGGGGGTGGAGATTGGTGCCTGAGGCTGAATTGGGACTCGGAGGTGCCAACCCAGCCCAGTCCAGACGGGCGCCCGGGGACATCCTAGTAGGTACAGGTATTCTTTACAATTTGAATTAAAATGATCGGGATAAGACTCAAAAGTCCATCGGCTATAAATTGTTTCTTCAGCACATGTTCCCTTTCTGAAATAATGAATCAGGCCCATTCAAGTCCAAAGTCCCTGGTAGATGGCTCTCTATGCTGTATTTCATAACGTAAACCCCATTGTACACGCATGAATAAAGGCAATAAAACATGGCACTCTTTCTTTTTGCATTTAACTTTTCAGACAGCGTAGATTTGGACACGAGTTCATTCAAACCTCGAGCCAACATCTCATGCTTCTTCAGTCATGGAAGTGGATGAATCATTCCTGAGCGTCTCCATTTCGAAATTCTCCTCAAGAGGAGTAGCCATCTTGCCTCCGCCTATATAAGGCTTGAGGCCGCGGTGGAAGTTCCTATAGCACATAGCAGTCGTACACAGAGTGCAGAATACTAAGATGGCAGAGGAGATCCCATAAAAGGACAAGCTCAGGGAGCCGCTCGGTTTGCTCCATCTCGCGGAGTGCAAATAGAAGATGAACCAACCGATAACAAGGAATATACAGAGATAGAAGGCCTGGTATATCTTTAGCTATCTACTCCATGGACCTAGATGAAGCTAGAACTTACCATGATGATAAATGTTCTCAGAGTATGCTCATGTCGAACACAATATGCCGTAGCGAGGAAGAAGAAAAAAAGACATGGGTAACATGGTCCAAAGCATTGGAGTAACCCAGCTAGAAATATTCCAAATGGGGGGCCCTTCCGAGTTTGGAATCACCATGATGATCTGAACGAAGTACTCGAGGACATAGAAGGCGTCGAACTTGAGGAAAGCCACCAGGACCTAATATTATGGATTGAAAAAGCATTCAGTTAGCTCAGTAGAGAAATCGTACATACCTGCACCATTGGATGAAACTCACCTGAAAAGTACGATACTTATGCTGCATGACTAGATCCGCATCCATCTTACGGAATGTCTTCCAAGCCATCTCACGCTGCAATCTCCAAACCAGAAACACAGAAAACACTGTCCAACATGGCATAACTATGACCAAGGCGAGACAAAGCTTTCTTGCTAGCATAGTCCGAGATTCAATGGACGGGTTATTATCAGGCTTTGCATTGGCTTGGGTGACTGCGCGTGTGAAATCGCTGGTGGAATATTCCATGCCGTTGAAAATGCAATCCATTCCATACAGTACGCTCAATCCGCCGATCTGGATGATATTCTGCTGAGCCAAAGTGTCATATACTAAAACTTGTCGATAAAGGCATGATATGACGACCAAGGCAATACTCGCATGAAATGCAGGCGAAAGGGACCGGGACCAGGATAGAACACCGATAATGCCCCTGGAGAACATGTTAATCGGTGAGTCTTATTTCACCCTTCATGTTTCAATATTCCACCTGACAGTTGCCGCCAGTCGCTTCATCTCCTTTTTGGCTTTTTATTCTTTTCTTATAGAGGAAAGGCATACCCTTGCATACCCATTGAAAAAATAGTCATCGCCAGATTCGAAAAGAAGTAAACCCATGTCCATCGGGAGTCTGGTCGGTACAACATTTGTGATGTGCATATCCAAGCCCTGGAGCAAAGAAAGAAATGGAAGTTGAAGCCAGGAAAGAACGCCGCAATTCGAGGCTGAAGCTGAGAATATTTGGGGCGATGCGAAGAGAGGCTTCTGAACAAGGCGTCCCACTGAGCATTCTATCAGGTGTGACAATAGCCCTGCGACCGCGAACTCATTGATATCCGAACTAGCCACGAAGTGTCACCGACTCTCGACCTCTCACTGCTCCGTGCAACTAGGCTACTCCCTGCGGTTCGCGTAAGTGAGATGGTTTATAAAACTATACATTTCGCTCGCTTCTCGGATTTCCAGACATTAGTTCATCGGGAATAAGCCACGGGTTCGAATAATATGCCTGAAGTTCAGAAATGGACTCCTAGTCCGCTTGGAAGAGGCTCAACAGATATTCTTTGGTCTTGTTTGTCGACGCTGGGCCTATGTGTTTGGACGGCTGTTCATCCGAATGTTCCTCTTGTGTACCGATTACGACGCGCCGTCTGTCATCGCCTCGGACTGATGGCTCTCGCCATTATTTTTCCTGAGATTATCATGTCCGAGGCTTTGAACCAGCGTCTACTTGCGCGTCGATTAATGATGGACGTGAATCAAGCCATTCGCTACGCCGTAAGCCATATCTATTCCCTTTTCATTTTTTTATTTTAGTAGACTCGAGAAACAACATTTTGATCACAGCTGATCCAACCACAGGTAATTCTTTCACCTCCAATGACCCCTGAATCAGATCAATGGAGCAGTCACTCGAATGGATACTCGAGTAGTATCCACCCTCTACTTAGCGCAGCCAACGGCTCCGACAAAGGCTCATGGGTTATAAAACAGGCCATGTTCGCAGTAATGGGTGGATTCGCCATGACAACGACATACACGGATCGCCATGGGCACGAAAAGACAATCCGTCGTCTCGTCGCCTCTGAAGGAATCACGATCCTTGCCAAAACCGGTTATTTGCCGTCAATTCAAGCAACGGACGTCGAGGAACGCAGCAAAGCAGACCTTTTCGCTAAAATGCTGGTTCTAATTCAAATCCTGTGGTTCGCGCTACAGGTCGTGGCGCGCCTTATTCAGGGAATTACTGTCACGCCTCTGGAAACACACACCGCTATCCACGTCGGTTGCACGATCTTGCTTTATGCTATCTGGTTTAATAAACCGTACAATTTGACCCAGTCTATTGAATTGGCGGGGACGGATATTGAGTACATTGGTGCTCTTTTTAACTTTTACTGTATTAGTCACGCTCTCTATCTCAAGCATTGTGAGCATTATCGCGTTCAAAGAATGGAATACTGGAAGGAACGCGTTATTCTCGTTTCTAGAGGCGAGAATGGATATGCGCCGCCGCCTTGTGTTCCGAAATTAAAGTCTCTACCCGTCTTACTGGAAGAATATAATGCTGACGATATCGAACATCTTAAATTCGACGAATCCTCCGACGAAGATGTCTATATCCTGCATGGCATTGCTCCAAATGCTCGCCATGGTCTGCGAATTCTGGAATGCAGAGGATGCGACATCTTCCGATCCGTTCATGAGAATAGCCAGCCCCTCGACGTGCTCCGCGAAAGCGCAGGCAATTTCAATTTTCGCAGTATCTGGGGCAGCTGGAGCACGGATGTCGGTCATGAACCATCCATCGACAAAGTTCTGCATGTTTTGTTCAACGTCATGTACGGCGGACTTCATCTAGCAGCATGGAACTACGAGTTTCCAACGCCCATCGAGCGCTGGTTGTGGCGGACTTCTGCGCTCTGCCTCGTCACCTCCCCGATTTGGGGCGCGCTCTGGGTACTATGGTGGATGGGGGTCCGATCAAATCGGAAAATACTCTTTGTCTTTCGAGATGGGGATTTTGATATTTTTGCTGCGCCTTTGTTCTTCACTGTTATTATTGTGTATACAGTGGCTCGGGCTTACTTCTTGGTGATATCGTTGGCTGGTCTGCGACTTCTGCCTAAGGACGCGTATGATAGTATTAGCTGGACTTCTGTGTTCCCTCATTTCTCATAGGGGGTTAGGTTGAGACTAGTGAGGTTTCGGGTCCCGGGGCGTTGCCGTGTGTCATTGAGGTCCATCAAATTAGAATGGCTCTTTCATATCTGTGGAGTATGTCGCCGGGCGCTCAAGTTGTAAACTCCAAGCTAAACTCCGATCTAGAACATCGTTTAAACAATTATATTAAACCCTTCATCATAAGGCGTGAACGGGGCTGAAAAATGCCATGCTCGCAGACGATTTCCTAATCGGTCGCGTAATGTGACACACACCAAAACATCTAGTGCTGTAGCCAAAAAAGCCTCATTGAGTGATATAAAATGCCGCAAGTACTAGAAAACCCTGGGAAAACATTCTGCTTTCTGGGAAAGGACTGTAACCATCTAGAAATTGAGTCAATCTGCTACAAGTCCCCCGCCTTCGCCCCCACTCAACTTCCTCACAATGCCTTCTCAAACCTGGCTCGTAACTGGCGCCTCCTCTGGACTAGGAACAGCGATCGCCGAGTCAGCCCTACGCGCTGGAAACAAGGTTCTCGCAACAGCCCGGAACCCAGAGAAAGCCGCATTGGAGAATCCGCAAATCGCAGAACTAGGAGGCGTCTGGGTCAGACTAGATGTAACACAGACCGACACAGCCCGCCACGTGGAAGAGATTATCCGCGAGAATGGTGGCGCATCGATTGATGTGGTGGTCAATAATGCGGGTTACTCCCTTTTAGGCAGCATTGAAGACATGAGCGAGGCGGAGATTGAGGCACAGTTCAGCACGAACTTGTACGGACCGATTCGCGTCTTGAAAGGTGTTTTGCCATTTATGCGGGCACAGAGATCTGGCATTGTCGTCAATGTTAGTAGCAGTGCTGGATTTGAGGCGTTTCCGGGCTGTGCCATGTACGCTGGGTCAAAGTTTGCTCTTGAGGGTGAGTGAGAACGAGGAGAGTTAAAGATCTGATTGTCCTCATCTGACATGTTTCAAATTGTTGCAGGTGTGTCAGAGAGTCTGGCAGCAGAGTTGCGGCCCTTTGGAATCCGCGTGCTGATCGTAGAGCCTGGCATTTTCAGGACTAAGTTCTTGTCGGCGTTCGTCACACCTGAGGCTGGGATGACGGCGGACTATGAGGGAACACCGGTCGAGGATATGGTTCGCGCATTCAGGTCGAGTAATGGAAGTCAGCAAGGCGATCCTGTCAAGGCTGCAACAAGGATCCTGGAGGTTGTGAGTGGAACGGGCATGGGGGTCGGGAAAGAGAATCTGCTTCGATTGCCGCTTGGGCCAGATTGTTATAGTTGCTTTCTGGCGAAGTGTGAGTCTCTGCAGGAGAACTTGGAGCAGATGAAGGAGATTGCATGTTCGACCAATTATTGATCGACGCGGAAGGTAGTCCGGTGTGTATGTGAATGCGTGAGTGCGCGGTGACAGGTATCATAAATCGGGGGTTGATGAATATCTACAAACTTTTGGCTAGTAATAGGCTAAGTAACGATCTTGCCAATGTAAAATCTACTCCTCCTCCTCGTCTTCGTCTTCGTCTTCATCTGCGTCCTCTTCTTCTTCATCTTCACCTTGGTCTTCCATATCTTCATCGTCGTTCTCGTCATCACCCTCTTCAAATTGGACTCCGATATCACCAGTAATATCCCATCGGTCACCCTTGGCGGCTGCACTGACGTACTTGACGAACTTCAGAGTGGCATTGTCACGGAGTACAATGCTAAGACGGTTCCATCCAGCCTGAGTGCTGAATAAAATGCCATCGTCCTCGTCCGCACCGGCTGAGCGGTAGATCGCAGGGTCGGCCTTCTTCTTCTCCTTGGGCCGGAGTACCTGATCGGCATTCTCTTCGTCCTCCTCTTCATCTTCCTCGTCGTCGCCAGCCATATAAATCTCATAGCCACCAACCGAGGGGTGCTCAGCGGCATCGCCGTTGGCCTGATCCTTGGGCTTGGACTGAGCCTGGCCATTCTCGCCATCCTCTTCCTCTTCCTCCACCTCTTTCTCCCATCCCGATGATGGTGTGAGGCTAAGGGTGAACTCCAGACGGGGCTCCTCGGCATCGTATCCACTCGCCAATGTGTAGTCTGCACCGCGACGGAAACGACGGGCAAGGAAGTTGTGGCTTGTAAGATGATCGACGCCAGTGATAAGTGACAGCCATTTCCGGAAAGGCTGCGAGGGGAATAGGACGTTCAAAATCTCTTTGATGGGATCCTCGGTCTCACCAGGTGCAGGTTGTTGATACAAGTATCGGTGCTTGTGCGGGGACGAGCAACGGTCCATCCAGTTTGAGACTTGATTTCCTCTGATGAAGTGGGAAGAGATTGCCGCTCTTGTTCCTCAATGTACGCGCTGACCCGAGAAGCAAACTTCTCATGTAGGAAGCGCTCCAAACTGAGAGAGGACTCGCTCGCGAACGAATCTGACATTTCCTCGGCAATATCGGGGGTCAGATATGAGGGCGCAATGTACTTGACCAAGAACTCCAGATCGGACTCTGTGAATTCGTTGCCCTCTATTTGCTCCTCAACTTTGCCTTTGCCCTTACCCTCCACCTCGGGCTCCTCCCAAGCAATGGGGTTCGGCTGCGGCAGATCGTAGATGTCGCCGCGGCCCTGCAGTTGGGCCAAACTGCTGCGCTCCGCTAGCTTCTCCTCCAAACCCTCCTCGTAGCCATCCTCACCTTCTTGAGGAATATGGAACCAGCCGCTGATTGCCATGCGAACGCGCTTCTTGGACTTGTCCTCGTCCTCACGGGGGTGGTATACTTCCTCGACATCGTGGAAGCTTTCACCTGGCTGAACGGTGAAGAAGCTAAGCTGGTTGAAAGCCGGAGGAATGGAGAGGCTGAAATCCGGGCTAGGAATCTTGACATCCTCGCCCTGGGCATCCTTCTCGGTGGTTGTTGGGTACAGGCGCAAGGCACCGCCCCATTGTTCCTGCCATGGAGTGTCGGGGTCGGTCAGGTAGAGGATATAACTGACACGTCGGCTACCGATAACGTCGTCATGGCAGAGAAGATGGCATCCCTCGTTATATACGTTAATCGCCATGTCGGTCTTCTGTCCACTCAGCTTTCCAGAGCCAGTCACGGAGGACAAGTATTCACGGAAGCGTGCCGAGTACATGGCGTCGCGGAGCTTCAAGATAGACGGCAGTTTGGAGAGAGAGGAATCATCAAGACCGTCAAGGTTGGCCAGATCGCCTGATTGGAAGATCTTATAAATATCGGTTTCCTTCTCGGTGAAGGAGAGGTGCTCTTGAATTTCATCGCGGACGGAACGGAGCAGAGATGGTTCGATCAGAGGGTGGATGACGCCGTGGTAATAACTGAAAATAAGCATATCGAGTCAGTTTCCGAGCAAACAGTTGCCAATGCCCATAAAAATATAATTATCAACGTACGGGTTCGACTTGGCGTAAGAATCGGTGTAGTTCTTCTGCTTCGCGGGGTCGAACAATCCATCGCTGAAGCGGCTAACGGCCTCCTCGGTGGAAAGTGCACGCTTTTTGGAATTAGGCAAGCCATTGCCATCAAGCGAAGGTCGTTCCTCAGTCTTGCGCTTCATTTTGGGTGTGTTGTAAGTTAGCAAATGTTAATGGAACCGGAGATGTCGCGGTGGGCTGATCAAAAATTGAAAGCGGAGGCGGTGAAGTGGAACAAACAGGCAGAATATTAAGGCGGTCAAGCTCCTCGTGATTGCTCATCTTCGACCTCGTCCTTCCCTCGACATACTTCCACTTCCATTTCCACTCATATTCCCTCCTTGGCATGCGACCTGTTTGATATTGTACAGACCTGTGCGCTCATTCTTCCCCGGGGTAGCAGAGTCGCGCATATCTTATGTCTCCCACGGACCAGACAAATTGCATCAAACACTGGGCTGGGTACCCCGTACTTGACAGGCTTGCCAGCACTTCGCCCTCTAATCACGAATTCAAGCATTATATCATCCTTCGCCGAACTTGAAAATCGAAACCAAAGTGAATTTGCGCAACTGTGGCTGCGTGGCTGCTGAGCTTGTATCTAATTGTTGGCGTTTCGGAAGAGCCTCACGCCGGTGACGCCAGTGCGGGCCCTGAGCCACAAACCGCCGGCCTTCGACGGCCTTCGACTTCCCCGCTTTCTCCGACTTTTTCTTTTCTTTTTGTTTTTACGACTCAAGGGTGCTTCTGTAAATTACAGAAGGCCACCCTCTCCCCATTTTACCACCGTGGCTCAACAGCACCGCAGTTTTCTTCCCCTGGCTATGCAGCCTCCCGACGCTGCGACCATCACGGATGATCGGCCAGGCACCCCACCCCGCCCACCATATTCTCCAGTGACACCGGTATTCGCCCATCTCGATCCCGTCGCAACCAGCAATGCGACAATAGTACCACCCCCTTTGTCGCCATCGCCGACAACTCAAGTTGCACCAGAGACACCCGCCTACCAGGCCCCGCGGCCACCTGCAGCACCGGCTGTCTTTAAACCTGAACCGCCTCCCGTGCCTATCTCCGAAAGTGAGAACCCCGATGCGATCGCTCTGCGGTCGGCGATATCAATATTGCAATTGCAGAAACAACAAAGTTTGCGCGACATCCAAACCCTCGAGCGCATGAAAGATGTCGCTGGCTCCGATCCAGAAGGCTTTGCCCGTGATCTGGCCTCGGGGAGATTACGCACGGAGGACAGCGGCGCTGTGATCCAATTCACCGAAGACGACAATATGGACACCGATGAAGACGAAGACAACCAAAATGAAACCGATCCGGGGCAATCGGCAGGCAAAGATCCGAAAATTTCCCCATTTGGCCGCATACCAGCGGCCCAAAATGTTGTACGCATGCCCCCAATCAACTGGTCCAAGTACCATGTGGTTGGCGGCTCGCTGGACCGCATGCATGAAGAACAACTCCGCAGACCAAGTCCTGGAGACCTTAGACGGGGAGAACCTGCGCCAGAACATGTTCTGGCCTCCCCTTATCGCCCACTTGTTGACCGGCTCGACAAGACGAAAAAGTGAGCCCTGGATGGGCTCTTGATGACCACGGTATACCTTACGATGCTATGTATTCTATTACGACGGGAGCAAATATGCTATAGATGTCCGAAAAGACCATTATTATTACCAATTTATTACGATTTCCATACTGTTTCAACTTGTCATACTTGATCCACATTACTTGATGCTCATCACAGGTCTCCCCTTTCCTTTGCAGAAGGCAGCTCATCTTTGATGCTCCCAACTGATGCCGCCGCCTCCTCCAAATCCAAAACCGATTCCACCAGAGTGACTATTGTTATCATCGCCACCTCGTCCATCACCATCTCCGTGTCCATCGCCTCTACCGCCGCCGCCGCCGCCTCCTCCATGGCCTCCTCCATTTCCATCACCACCTCCGCCGCCACCACCACCACCACCACCTCCTCCTCCTCTTCCATCTCCATTACCTTCCCCTCTACCTCCCCCCTCCACCTCCACCTCTGCCCCCTGGACCTCTTCCATCTCCTCCATTCCCCCTCTCTCCACCGTCACCTCCTTGTCCCCGCCGGCTAAGCCTCCACCTTCAGCACCACCTCCAAAGCCACCTTGTTGTCCTCCCTGACCTCCAGCGCCGCCGCCTCCGAGGGCACCTCCCAGGGGACCGCCTTGCTGTTGGCCACCAGCACCCCCGCCTTGACCTTGACCTCCATTTCCGCCGCCTCCAAGGGCACCTCCTCCAAGGCCTCCTTGGTTTTGGCCTCCAGCCTGACCACTACCAGCCCCGTTTTGAAGCCCGTTTTCTTGGCCATTTTCACCTCCGGCACCGCCAGAAGATTCTCCTCCTGTGCCAGCACCACCTGCACCTGCTCCTCCACCGCCAGCTCCCCCAGTGCCAGCCCCACCGGCACCCCCGAGGCCACCGCCGCCGCCAGCTCCAGCTCCACCGGCACCAGCTCCCCCAGAGCCCGCACTTCCTGAGCCAGCACCTCCACGACCGTCACCGCCGCCAGAGCCACCTCTACCATCTCTGCCTTCTTCACCTTCTCGACCTTCTTCTCTCTCCCCCCCTTCTCCCCTTTCACCACCCTCTTCTCCTTCCCCTCTTTCTTCCCCCGAAGAGCCTCCTCCACCAGAGCCTCGCCCGGATCCACTTCCAAAGCCTATGCCGAAACCTCCCCCAAAGCCTCCACTAAAGCCGCCACCGCCATCGCCTCTGAGACAAAGGTTTCCATCGGCTTCTATAGTAGACAGGTGTCAGCCGCTGTACCAAACTTCATATACTATGTTATTACTCACTTGCTTCGGCGGGTACAGGAGCAGCGACGGTACTAACTCCCAGACCCAAACATACCAAAAGGCATTCTGGCCTCATGATTTAGAGAGATATCACTAATTGCAAACTTAGCTGGTAGAAATGGATGAGAAACAGAAGCCCGAAAACCTTACCGATTCTTTTTGAGGCAAATCGAATGGGCCAGGTAGGAGTTGAATCTTGTAGATCTGAACCAAGAAGCATCAGCAAGCCATCCCCTTTATACCTTTATTATTCCTAATCCCAATTTCATCATCAATACAGTTGCCTTCAGCTGAGAGTCTCGGCGAAGATCATTCTCGTGCTTGCTCGGAGCTCGTTGTCGTCAAGACCAGTCAAGTCCCGTCTCCGAGCGCCTGGTTTGTAATTCTACGGCCTGGTCCTTGCTTGATGCCACATTGCTTATTTCAGTCTGGAAATTTGCCCAGTGCAATTGGCTTGGTTTAGTATGCGTCGTAATCAGCTTTCTACGCTGCAGCTATCCTAAACCTGTTGTGTCGCATGTTGCATGTTCAAGAACGTGTAGCCATGCATTACCATATAGATCTTACTGTTATCAGGCTTGGCGATTCCATTGGGAACATCCTCGGTCTATTTTTGAATCTCAGCAAATTTCCCTTCATTAACTAACTCCCTATGTTGAATCAATGACCTTGGTATCAGAACAAGCTAGGACAATTTATTATCAGCCCGGTCAAGCAACGTGATATTTTGCTTTCAAACAGGTCTTTGGTGTTTGAGATTTCCCAATTCCAATCCCGGTCATCTTGTAGTACTAGGATCATCTCATCAGAACACGTTATGGCTTCAAATTGGTGGGACTTTTCTTACGTCGAATACCGCCCGAAGCGCCATAATCTCAGTCTTCGAAACAAGCCTAGTTGTTCCGTCGGGGTTGGGTGTCCCAATCCAACCCGGCTCGATCGGGCTCCAAGGACTCACCAGCAGTATTTGATGGCCTCAAGAAATAAAGGGCGGCGATTCCTTCTCTTGATTTGCGTATGTCGAGTCCTCTAATATCTTTTGGATTGTCGATGTTCACCACAATTTCCTTTGACGGAATGTGATATCCGAGTCGCAAATTGGGTTTATCTTTATTCCTGAAGACGAACTCTATTCCTATGATATGAGTATTTGACGCGTCGGCTAAAACCCATACTTTTATTTGGTGGAGCGAGGGGTACAGGATGATGGTCCCGGTAGACCTCCAACTCAGTTTATGTCGACCTCTGAAGTACCTGGACACCAACACAGTCGTTTCCCACTGCAGATTCCTGGACAATGATCTTTCTGAGAAGTTGAGTTTATATGCTGGAAATCGAATCATCATGTACCTATTTTTAAACCACCAAAATCTTTCCCACAATCGCTTTTCTTTCGGACAAGATCTTGAAACATGCGGAAATGTTGAATATCCGAGGTTTTTTGATATTGTACTGCACCTGGAAGGGCTGACTGTGCCCGATAGTAGATTTTCTGCCAATGGATGCTTTTACTGGAAAGCAGCGTTTTCTCCTCCTCCAGAAGGAAGTTCAAATATCCAAGCTCTCCGTCCAATCGAAACCTGCTTTTCCAAAATGACTGCGACTTCAACATGTCCTTTGCAGCATGTGTTGCGGGCGAAACTGAGCACAGGCTCAAAGCATCTTCGACCGAAAGAAAGCTTGCAATAATGACCAAAATGTCGAAGTTAAGACGCAAAAAATCTCCGGCTGAATTTGTCCAATGAATATTTTTCAATATGAGGATTGCGAGATCCTGTTAAGTGGAAAACCAACAAATCTTTCTCACGCAAAAATTGTGTCTTATCCTCTATTCCCTTTCCGTTGTAGCAAATTTCAAAGGGCCATCCTACACTCTCCAAAATACCGTTTTGATGAGGACTCGGTTCTATATATTTGCATATTGCGAAGATGGGTTCAAATTTAACACCCATTGTGCCTGGCCCAAAGTAATTCATGAAAGCATCCCAGCACTTATTGTGGAATATGAGCGCTAGCTCGGGCTTGGCTTTGCCTATAACCATGTCGTACCAATATTTTTGAAGCTCATGGTCATCCTTTCGCTCCTCAAATGTCGATAGAGAGACTTTACCGTTCCTGGTGTATACTATAAAGATTCCCCATTAGCCATGGCTGTCTACTGGAACTCCCGGTAAGATACTCACACCCCGGCCAAGTAGTCCAACTATCTAGAAATTGACCCCCTCTATCCCCATCTGAACTTGAAATCTATGTTCTGGCAAGCGCATTACTACCACAGACGCGGCAAAATAGGGGGGGACCAACACATGATGATTACTGTTTATCAGAACGATCTGCTTTTCAATTATATGGAGTTGGGATTTTTTTTTTTGCAGTAGCATGGAATGTATGGGGTTATGACTCAACAGATGTTGGATCAAGTATCGTGGTCATTATTACATGTGTTGTTGCAAGAGGCTATTGTGATTTTATTATTACATGACTTTTCACGAGAACCAAGACCCGCTAGAGAGGATTAACCGTGGAATTAGACCCCAATCTCCATTTGCTTCCAGGGTCGTGGGGCCATTATTGACTCATTGGATGTGTGACCACATTGTAATCCTAGTAAAGAGCGACAGCGTTACTGGTAGCTAGTACATTACGGGGAAACCTTTGCTAACATAGTATATCCACTAATGAATATTTCAAGTTGTATTACCGATAATCTGAACTGTTCCACTTCCTATCCCAAGAAGCCGTCTAACACTTTTTAGTTACCGAATCAAGTCAAAATTGCATGAAACTATTTACACATTCTATTTGAAAATTTACAGCTCGGGTTCATCACCTCCAAGGTTAGAGCTTGGCCTTGCTGTTCTTCTCCCACTCTTCAACAGCCCGCGAACTCTTTTGCAGCAGGTCTCCCTTCTTTTCTTCCACTCTATCGCGCCAGGCAAGGTTCCCATTATGATCATCGATACCGTTCAACACACGTGAGTACATCTCCTCCTTCATGACACCATAGATACCTGTATCAGCTTTGTTCAAGATTTTCCGATCGCGAATCAAGGCAAGAGTCTCATCAAGTCCGCCTAGTGCGTCGACAATTCCCGCTTGCAGGGAATCCTTGCCACCAAAGCGACGTGCCTCGAGAACTACATTCCGGAACGTGGTGGGAACCAGCTTCTCGCGGAAAATGCTCATCATGGGGGTTTGGAGTGGGACTCCAAACTCAAGCTCATTGATGCAGAGGAATCCCTTCTCAGGATTCTGAACGCGATAATCATGGTACATGGCAAGCATGAAGCCGCCTGCAAATGCATGCCCATTGAGCAGACAGACGGTCGGCATGGGGAAGCTAAAGTAGCTTTATTAGTCTGCAGCTCTCTTGGGCATCTGCCCAGAAGAGACGAGGGGAGCAAAGAACGTACGTCAACAATCGTCGGAACAACTGCCATAGCCACTTATCCAGGAAGCCCTCGGTGCTCGCTACAACGTCCAGGTCCAGCCCATTGCTGTAGAACTTGGTAATACCACTGGTCGTGATTACAACACCCTTCGGATAGCGATGTTCGATGATGTCAAGAGCGAGAATCATCGCATCAATGAATGACGGTGTCAGCCGATTGTCCTTTGGCGAAGTGAATGTGAGCAGGTAGACATTCTGCTTGTCTGGGCCCTGCCCTGTGGGGTTGGTGCAGACGATGGAGCCGCCGGTCGAGGCGATCGGGACGGTGAAGAGAGCGGCCATGATGATGATGATGATGATAATGCTGGGGGTTTCAGGGATGAAGCTTGGATTTCTCGGAGAAAGAATAATTTAAGAGCTCGTGATCAAGTTCAGCACTTCAAGGTGATTCGGTCGCTCGGAAGATGGAATTATAATCAGAACACCGCGGCATCACATGCTAGAATGCTGACATAATATAATCTGGGGATGAGCATGGCCCCATGGGACAGCAAGTATACTGCAGATAAATGCTTCCAATTGACAAAAACAAGTCAAAAATTTGTAAAAAGTAGTTTCAAGTCAAGATCAGTTTCTGCAAAGGGGGTATTCCGCCCAGTGGTGAAGTTTCGGCAATGTGACCACGATTAGCATCACATTAGATATAGATGGAGTCGCGGTGATAAGATAAATACCATCTCTCTGCAACATATCATCATGGCTATATGGCTGGGGTTTAATGAGGAGTGAAATGGTGCGGTTGTCAAGCCTGAGGTGACAAAAATCAGATCGCTCGGATCGAGTAGTAACAGTACGATTTTCGGTAATTCATCGGGATTGAAGTTATTTTTCCATGGGATGCGGCCCCATTTTTATTCCAGAGTTTAAGTTTGTATCTGTATACTGAGTAATTAAGAACAGTGTTATGGTTGAGAGGTTCGTAAACGTTTCACTGCTACTTTGCTCTCTCAGGGCTTTTATGCCTTTTCTGCCTTAGGAAAGTCATAAACTCCCGCATCAGCCTCAACGACTTGATGTGTTGAGCCTTCCATTTCAACAACTCGCTGTGACGAGCCCTCCATTTCAACAACCGTATTTGATGAGCCCTCCATTTCAGCAAACGTATTTGAGCCCACCGCTGTATAGGTCACTGGCGATGATTCTAACTCCATCGGGCTCTTCTCATAAACAGGGCATGCATATCCAGACTCCTCGTCGATCGGTGACACGGGCCGAGACACATCCTGGGGAATATTTCGATCTGTTTTATCTGCTTCATCTTCAGTCCAAATTGCAGGGGCATATGCCTTGTCATCTAGGTCATCTCCCAGCACTGCCAGCTTTATACAGGTCAACAAGATGCCCAGGTAAGCAGCAGTAGTGAAAATCAGCTCAAAGATGACTAAAGCAAGCTGAGAGGATAGGGCCCACGACTCATCCGCTTCAATCAACACCCATTTGATAGAAACAATGACCCACGCAAAGGACAACGCAAAGAATATCAAAGATCCGAAAAGTGCGAATAGTCCAGCATTCTATCAAACGTTAATAAATAACAGATCACCCCGAGAGAATGTAAGGGTATAACATACACGTGCTGAGCGATACTGGCCCCGATAGAGTTTGAAAGTCGAATAGCCGAACCAGGCCAATATTTCCAGTGAAAATAACCACCAGAGGATTCTCCGGGCAGATATCAGTCTCGCCAATACCAAGTCATTATAGGCAAATTTCTCATAATGTGTTGACTCCACCACGAAGACGTTGTCGTACAATTTCCAAGCCCAACACGCAGCGGTCTGACAGCACATTAGGACGAAGGCAGTCCAGTGACTGATCTTGACAACGCGAGTCATCATGCTATCCTTATGAATCCGCACAAGGAACCAATGAATACATCGGTAAAAGAGGAAAATGGTAGAGCAATTAGCGAGAGATCGAAACAGCTCCGACAATATATCTATCCATATATATCCTAATGTCACGATCGTGTCCGCTACTTCAAGGAGATAAATACTTCCTTCAAGACACGAGCAGCTAGAGAAAAGGAGAATCAGCATAAATGATAGAGATATGAAAGGTTGGTGCCTTACATAGAATATGTGATTAAAGCAAAACTCAAGGTTTTGAACTGATAGACTTCTCCTTGGAATCTGCCGCGTCGAGCGACACATGGAACTCCGTATCGCACGAAACAAGCCAGCGCGAATAACCCGAATAGAATTGCAGAATCTATGATCTGAAAAGCACCCCGCGCGGCGGCAGCTGAGAGGTATTTTGGGTCTTCCGCCAGCTCTACCTGGATTTTCCAGGGGTCACCACCTCGCCCAGTATACGCCATTCTAGACGTACCCTCGGTGCGCTAGTTGTACTGGTAGTTTGGATCAGATTATCACCGAGAGAATGTAGCCCCGAGTCGATGTGTTGTATGACTCATATACCCAATGTCGATATGGGAATTGAAGAATTTTGGGAAAAATTTCGGACGGAAAAGGAGCTGGGCCTGGGGCAAGGCTGTACATAAACAAGGCTCGGTCGGTGTGCAGACCCTAAGTACGAGGACTCGTATCCATGAACTTTCAAGCGCGTTGGAGTGCCCGCTAAACTGACCCACTCCATCGCTTGACAGCGACCAAAGACGGCTGGTATGCAGCTCTTGCCTTATGTAGAAGACTCGAAACGATGGAATTTGGGGGCCGTGTTTGGGCCAACGGACCCACAACTTGGAAAGAAGTACGATTGTCATGCTCCAACCCGGCGGCTCTGTACCAAATCAAGAGATAACAAATATCATTGGGGCACCGGGCGGCCGTTTCTTCACATGCCTACTGAGATGCTACGTACATATCTTTGTTGGAGGGCTTGATAAAAAGAAATATGCATGGAAAGCCAACAAGGCTTGAACGTCCCTCCCGCCGCGGCCTGTGACGGTCACGGTCAAGACCATCCCTAATTTGTCAAACATCCACACGTGGCCTTAAAATAGATATTAAAGAACGAGGGAAAGACTTGGAGTGTCATTTGGGGTTTATACGAAATATTCAGTGGACAGTCAAAAGCTGCTGATGTTCTGGTCGATCCAAGCAATGGTCGGAGCGCAGAAATAATATTGATTGATATTTGTTGTTCTATCAACGTGATTTCCTTAAATTCCGAATAAAGTTTGTAAAGGATTTTCTCCCTGGCAATTCTGGTGTCATAGATACGGGTCTAGTACCTTTCAGGCATACTTTTATCGCGGAATATTTCATCACTTGCGGCTGATGCTTTAACAATTGCGGACGAAAGGGACAGCCCATTTGCGGGCCCATCCACACTAGCAGATGAACTTGACTTTCGACCCAATGAGTCGTTTTCCATCTCCACTACGTCAAATCGGCGGCGATAACCTCGTGTTCGGAGTGCACGATCAAGGGCAGAGGATGAAATCGGAAGTTGTAATTGTTTACAAACTTGAGTATAAGTCATTCGACGTGTTTGTTCAGAGGATGAGATATAGGCAATAATCCTATTAATCTGTAGATCAGATACAATTGGTTTAGCACCTTTCGGTTTGGTTGGTGTAAGATGGCCACGTCGAATTGCTCGGTAAACACGCCCTTTGTCAATTCCAAGCTGTTTTGCAATTGTTTGCTTAGGAATACCATCGTGATATTTGGTAAGAATAACCAATTGTAGATTACGGGAAGACTAAGAGTTTTAATTGAGCGATTTGCCGTAGGTGGTGACGGTGTTCGTGGAATAGATGTTGTACAATCGTTGAAATTGAAGCTATTCATGGTCGGTTTCATGGTTCAGGGGCATTGAAAAGGGCACAAAAAGCGAAAATTTGTGCGTATTGTACTCCGTATTACAGAGTAATTTAATGCGCTATATTAAAAAGGGCAATGGAGCAAGTGGGGCATGCTTGGCCCCTCCGAGAGCCTCGTACATGTTTGTTTAAGCGTCGCATCTTAATTAGGGGTACTAGTAGACCTTGACGAAATCTGCTAGTCTCTATGCGGTAATGATAGCGAGTTCAGCCCCTAACTTCGCATGGAAATAGGCTCTATGTGGTATGATCATTTTACATGACTGGTCAACTCTTAGTATGACTAAATCGGTTAAATAAGTTAGAGATTGTCGGAACAGAAATGTACGTCCAATCAGGTCCATGGGTAGTTGTCTAATTTTTGTTATGTTCGCTCACATACTAATTTGTATGCGACCGACCATGACTAAGACTCTTGGCTAAGTTACAATGATACATTCTGACCATGCCTTACAATACCAATTCCCCACTCATACCGACACACCCCCTCAGTATTCAAAGCACCTGAGGTTTCCAATATCAGCGTGTTGAATGCTGTATCCAATCGATGTAGACCGTTGAAGGTCCCAAATAGGCAGGAACGGCTGCCTCAGTCCTCAATATATCTTCGAACATCATGTAATCGAAGCATTTGGACAAATCGTTCGTGGTTTTGCCGTGTGAGCGGCTTAGTGAGGCCATCCGCAGCCATCTCTGCGGTGGGCACCCATCTGATCGTCAACCTACCGTCTGCCACTTCTTGTCGAAGCCAGTGGTTGTGTATATCGATGTGCTTGAGCTTCGTATGCAGTTTGGTGTTGGTGCTGGTGATCAGATCGACAGTTTGTCTATTGTCACACCGTAGTGTAATCTCATGGTTTGGTCGGAAACCAAGGTGGCGTAGAAGGCGAATCGTATATTGCATCGCCCGAGCGGCCTCCGATAGAGCAAGCAGCTCTGCTTCAGTGGTTGAGGTAGTGACAGTGCGTAGCTTTGACGCCTTCCAGTCAACTGGTCCTCCATATATCTGACATAGATATCCAGCAGAGCTCGTCTTGTCGAGGTTATCTGCGAATGAGGCATCGCTTGCGAATGCAATAGATTCCAACCCACTACCAATTCCATATGCAATTGCCCAAAATCGTGTATGATATAGGTAGGTGATCACTCGATCAATAGCATCAATATGCTGAGGTCCCGGATTGGTCAAGAACTGTGCCAATCGAGCAGTGGCTTTCGCGGCATCAACGCGGGTGATTGTAGTAGCATACTGAGCTGATCCCAATTTGGTCGAGAACTCTTCAATATACTCTCTGCGCGGTGTACCGTCGTAAGGCTTTAGGCTATCAGGTGCTGTCATTGGCGTCGTCACCCGGGGCTTATTCACAAGGTTGAATTTGACCGCCATATTCGCAATATAGGCATCCTGACACAACCACAGCTTCTTCATTGATCGATCGCGTATGATCCGAATACCCAGAAACCAGCGGGCATCTCCATGATCTGTAAGCTCCCAGTGTGTGTGGAGCTGTCGCTCGATCTCATAGGCGCGATCTCGTTGATCAGGTGCGCTAGCCAGAATAATATCATCCACGTAGAAGAATACAATAATTCCCTTACCAACGAACACACAAGGATCCTCAGGTAGTGGTGTCAAACCAAGCTTACCTAACACGCTACAGGCCTCCTGCTGCCAAAGCTTTGGCGAGGTCCTTAGGCCATACAGTGCCTTCACAAGCTTCCAGCATACTGCTTTCGGCAGGTTTGATCCATCCGGTGGCTTCACATACACCGGCTTCGGTAGTGTACTGTTCAGGAAGGCATTTACTGCATCAAATTGCCTTAGATCCCAGTCAAACGCAGCAACTAAACCGAAGATAATCCGTGCCGTACGGGCAGCGAGGGTAGCAGCACGCTTCTCCTCTGAAGTTACTCTCTCAAGGTCACCTCTCACACATAGACGAGCTTTGTGTTTCAATAGGTTGCCATCCTGGTCAAACTTATAGTCAAAGACCCAACGTAGTGGCAAGACCTGAACAGATCGATCATTCGGACGATCAACCACTTCAAACGTGCCTTTGCTTTTCAAGTTCCGAACCTCCAGGGCGGCTGCTGCCATGAATGCGTCACGGTTAGAGTGTCGGACCATATCATTCCAGTGCTCAGGTGCTGATGGCAGGTCGTCTCGGTGACGACTCGGTTTCTCAGCGTTCAACGCAGTAGCGAATGCATATAACAACTCAGGTGGTTCGACCGACAGTTCGTCCTCGGTAACCAGATATGTATAGTCATCTCGCCGTGTTGACCTACGCTCGCGCTTACCCTCAATAATATTGGAAGGGCTCAACGACAGATCAATGTCTCGAGGTGCTACAGCCAGCAACGGCGTAGCCAGTTCTTCGTGTAATTGAGCTTCACTCTCAGATAGAGGCTCCGGTTCAAACAACTCATTCTGCTGCTGCTGAGGCTGGTCATCCTGCTGATCTTCGTTTCTTGTAGAATTCGAAGTCGTTTCTTTGTTCACCCCCTCAGTCTCTGTAGCAGGTTTTCCGGCCGGAAAACGATGTCCCAGCGGAGACTGTTGAGATGGTCTTTCAATAGTAGGTGGCGGAGTATACTGTTGTACAGCCTCAAGATGAGTAGGTGCAGGTGTCGCTTCACGATCAGCTACTTCCTCAGGGTCATCTTCACTGCTATCCTCAATTTCAGGCTCTCTACTAACGCTCTCAGCATCAGTAGGTGCTGGATTCGATTGTTCGGCCTCAGATTCATGTCCGATTCGTCTCTCAATCCAGTCGTCAGGGAGACCTATTTCGTGGTGAATAACGCGCCATTCCTCACGGTCGTTGAGGATATCACGGGTTTCTGGGATCGGTAGTGGGTGCTCCCTCCAAAACTGTATGCCAGGGTGCCAGCGACACGATTCATCGAATACTGCGTCGCGTACGGTTTGAATCCTACCCGACGAGGGCATCCAAACTCGCCACACATTCGAAGCCTGATAACCAACCAAGAAACCAACTTCCGCACGAGGGCGAAGTTTGTGAGAACGGGGAATATTCGGTATCCGGCAATAGGTGAGACTGCCATACAATCTCAGACATGACAGGTCTGACTTTCTCACAAAGTTCTGGTCCAGGTGTGATCGTGCTTCATCCCAGGGCACTATCCAACTTCCATCCTCTAGATGGGTTGGAGTCCTGTTCAGTATATACACCGCAGCGTATACCATCTCTGGCCACAGGCCCTCAGGCAATTGGCCCTCAATACGCAGCTTTCTGGCCTTATGAATGACGACACCCCCTGAGCGTTCGCCGGGGCCGTTCATCTCAGCGCTATGTACCACAGTATGTGTCACCACAAAGCCCATTCCCTCGAGCTCTCGTTCAGTATCAGCTGTCACTGATCTCTCGTTATCTGAGTGAATTCCAATCAGGGGTATCTTCAGTAAACGGGTGGCCAGATACAAAAACGCCCTTATTCCGTTTTGACACTCTGATTTACGCGCGTGCGTATACACCCAGTGGAACCGAATGCCTGATACATAGAAATGTGTGATATATCGGTGGCCATTATGTGACTCCTTTGGCATTTCGATTAGGTCGTAATACAGCTGGCCAAACCTGCCAAACGTACGACCTACCGGTCTCCGTGATATCTGACGTGGTGCGTGTGACATACTACACACCTGGCACGGGGACTCAGTTATGCCAGTAGCCTCAGGGTCCTTGATTTTGATTCCTTCTACCATCTCAGCTGTTTTCTTCACTGCATTTGGATGTATATGGCCCAATCTGCGATGCCACACATCCGACGATGCCTCAGAGATCCTTGGTGCAATCGATTTCCGCACTGCCATTGCGTACTCGATATCACACTCACTCTCTAAGGTGGCAGTTCCATCGGCTAGTCAATTAGTTGCATCACCCTGTGGCTTATCAAACAGCCACAGTTTCGCATTATCATTCCAGGCTACACGTGCAAATGGGATGCCTCTCGGATCTCTTATACAGTTGTTCATCTCATCCCATTGGCAGCCACGTTCCTTTGCACAACCATACGAGACTAGGTTGGCTTGGAAGGTAGGTGAATGACAGGCATTATGCAATTTGACGCTGCTTCGCGCACCCGTTCTAGGGTCAATACAGGACATTACTGCAGTTCCATACCCTAAGGTGCGAGTGACACTGTCACCAGTTTTGACGACTGATTCATCAGGGGTATACTCAATGAACAGATCTCGGTCCACACAGATATGGCGATGAGTTGCTGTATCAAATACCCATTCATCCCTAAGGTGAGGCCTTTGATTAAGACAATTCAGTGCCAGCGTAGTCATTGACCAAGTACCTAGGGCAGCACCCTGTTTTTCAGCTGAATAATACTGATTGGCTGACTTGATCTCCTTGTCAATAAACTCCTTCCAATCAGGATGATCCTTGAGCATCTGGTTGATCCTTCCTTGAGTTCTCGAATCGGCACTCCAATTGGCCGATCTCTCCTTTTCATTGATATATGGACATTCCCATGGTTTGTGGTTTCTTTTACCACACGGGCACCATCGCTCAGCCATTGGCACATCCTTCAACGACCGCTTCTTAGCCGGTTTTGTTGCACTTGGCGAATCTGGTACAGCCTCAGTGCTACCTTGAAGAGTTGAGAATGCAGCTCTTGGTGCTGAATGACCTCGGAGATTGGTCGGTGGCGCTGGTGCTGGTGCGCTACCAAAGTGCTCGCGGTAGTGAGCCAGGAAGTCATTCACCAATGTACTATTATCCATCTTGGTGCTCTCGATCGTGATAGGTCGAAGTTGTTGTGTGTGCCACATTGGTGCCAAATGCTTCACTGCTAACAGGAAGTCCTTGTTAAACTTCATTTGGGTCTCACCAATAGCAATCATCCGATCTCTCATCTTCTCCCAACGACGTACAAATGCTTTTACATCCTCACCTTTCCGCGGTGGATACACTGCATTGTACATATAGTCCTGGCGATATTCCTCATTCAGGTTTCCAGAGTCAGAGTATCGGTCTCTCAACATCACTAGACGTCCATGCACAGTAGGTTTATCATACAGCTGATCCCTAACTGCAGGTTCAACGGTTGCCATAATCACTCTCTTGATATTGGCTAGTCCTCTCTCCTCTCGATCCCATCGCTGATAATTTATCTTATATAGATCGATCGCCGTTGCATTCGCTTCGGGAGACGGTGGTTCAGGGCACTCTCTCGGTTCAGGAAGAATACTCTCAGGGGTATCGGGATCGATGAACTTCCATACACGGTCGGTTTCGGCGACATCGCGGATAGCACGTATCCAATCGATCCAATCGGCCGACGTTCGCAGCTTGACGCTCTGCGAAGCGGAGATAACAGCGTTTTCCATAGCGGTATCGGGTTGTATTCAACAGTGCTGCTTTCGATGCAGATACTGTGTACAGATCGGTTCGCTCTCAGGGGTAATTGACCGACGGGGTCAATTCGACAGATAAACGGTATGAATAGCCTCAGATTCGACAGAATAGGCAATATATTCACTTAGCAAGCCGGGCTCATAACTGTCGGAACAGAAATGTACGTCCAATCAGGTCCATGGGTAGTTGTCTAATTTTTGTTATGTTCGCTCACATACTAATTTGTATGCGACCGACCATGACTAAGACTCTTGGCTAAGTTACAATGATACATTCTGACCATGCCTTACAATACCAATTCCCCACTCATACCGACAGAGATTGAGATGAATTTGCCTTGAAATTCCTTTCTTCACTGCCTCTGCATTCACAATATGGTACGGGGAAAACCTCCTCTGCCAGTGGAAAAAAACCCGTACCGAGGCGAAGATAAATTATGAACGATATAGGATAGCATATTCCGATAGCACTCATAGTATAATGCCACCAATGAATGTCCCCCCAGATGCTCTTATCATTCGGAACCACGTCTCCTCCGACCTACACCTCAACGCAGGCCATTTTAAGCTTATCCGTCGGGTAACTGGTCCCATCTGTTGATAAAGATTGGTCCTCTTTGTTGTCCTTTAGAGTGATAAGCAACTCTCCACTGGGGCCGTAGATTTTGCATGACATTCCATGGTTGCTATTTCGACTGGCTCTGTCCGATTGATGGTTTGCTGCATTCGGCGCAAGATCTGGAATGGGTCGTTCTTTATCATCAATGGGAGAGTGGGCATTCACAAGCTGATACTGAGGCCCTTTTGTGCTGTAAAATGTGACCCTCGCACTATTCATCTCATCCAAGTTGGAAGATTGGGTTGTTTGGCGAGTATCGATTGAGTGGGCAAGAGTAGTTGCCACAAGACAAGTGGGTGTAATGAAAGTCTTCATGGTGGATTATGGATGATCACTTCTAGAACTTGAACCTCAGAACTATTCGGCGTTGAATACTCCTAGTATGACTTGATTCGTGAGATGCTTGAAAGGATGATGGACAAATAGGAACGTGGATCCTCTACCACTATATATACTAGTACCAGTAATCGAACTGCCTGTGATAGTGCTCTGATACTACTCCATCCAAACTTAGGCATCCATGGATCTGAACTAGTACTAGTGATGCAATAACCAATCGTAAATTTGACCCTGCGCAATGGCCAGTGTGATGTTTCACTCGCAATTTCCATTGATCGGATCCTCGACCCATCTGGAATACCGAGCTAAAAACAGAATAGATCTTGTTTTGGTATTGGTATTTGCAGGCAGCCCCCGAGGTCTTTGAGTGCCGCGATACACTTTTAGCGAAGATGTTTTTATTCAACATTAGAAAAATTTCTAATAATTTTCGCATCAGTATCATGATACAATCGCTCGCGCAGCTAATCGATCCTTGCACCCTCATAGATCACATCAGATTTGCAAATTCTCCACGGTTAAAGAGACCCCTGGAACAATGTGGATCGTATTATTCAATCAGAAGCTACATCATATTTCTTGAATACAAAGGAACATGCCGAACCCCAGTTCATGTCGATGAAGTCAACAGGGCAGCCTCGTAATCATTGATGCCTAGCAAGGATTACGGTAAAGCTCATTCATGCCATTGATTTTTAAGATCAAGACTATCAGCTAGGCTTTGAAGCACAAGGACTATGTATGTTGATGTTACTTGCCGGGTATTCTTACATGGTTGGTAGCCTACGAAATTTGCTTCAGGTCACAAGAAGAGGATGGATATTCTAAGTATAGTTATAACCCAATAACGAGTGGCAAATCTGCGCCCTCGTGATTCGAGAGATGGCACAGTCATCTGGAGAAATAGATCGTGATTTGACGCAAATAGCCTACTGAAACCTCATAACCACAACGGACTGAGGTAAAATTTCGCCGGACAGAACAGAATATCATCTCAAGATTGATCGTTTCTCTGTTTCAAATCAGACTTGTATATTTTCAGTTTGCCGAGATCTTAGTCAGTGCACCGGGGTCGGGTTTCACCTAATCTACACGTAGCCTTTTCACCGCGATTTCCGAGTGCCCAGGTGCTTACCACTTCAAGTTTCTGCTCTGCTTCCAGTTAGCTAGCAAGGATGGACCTTGCGGATAGCAGCCCTCATTTACGAATGAGAATTATATCGAGCCAGTGACCCGCGAGATTCAAGGAGGGAACTATGTGGGGGCCGGAGCATGCATGGTTGTTCGTGATGCCTAGTGTGCATGGTGACTACCTCATAGGAGCGAAGGTAATTGCTATGAATCATTGCGAATATCGCGGTAGGTGTAGGCAAACATTCACTAGTAGTTACTAGTAATCAAGCGCCATTGAAGTGTACTAATTATTGGATTTATGTAGCCAAGAAACCTAAGAAACCTAAAGCCCAAAGTCTCCGAGAAGTCGCCGCACCTCGTACTACTATATCTAGACTGCACTGGAAAGAACTTCTTCTCTCAATTGCTGTAAAATCAACTAGAACTTGAACATACCATGGCAGCGATCGCATTCCCCAAACACGCAAAAACCCTCAACCTTTCAACAAACCACACATACAGCTATATCCTGATCCCACCCCGAACCCCGACAAAACCAACAATCCTATTCCTCCACGGCTTCCCATCATCCAGCTATGACTGGAGACACCAAGTGAGCTTTTTCGCCGCGACTGGACACGGCGTCCTGGTTCCAGATCTACTTGGCTACGGCGGGACTAGTAAACCATCCTCTGCAACCGAGTATCGGGCCAAGGGTATGGCGGCAGAAATAATCGAAATCCTAGATCATGAAGGCATGCTTGATGGTGTTCATGCAGTCTCGCATGATATGGGTAGTATTTTACTTTCGCGATTGGTGAATTATTTCCCGGATAGATTGTTGTCGGCGACGTTTTTGGTTGTGTCGTATTCGAAACCTGGGGAGCGATTTGATCTTGAGGCTGTTAATGATATGACTAAACACCTTCTGGGAAAGGAGAAGTTTGGGTATATTGGTTTTTTTGTTGGTGATTGTGCTGGTAGATTGCTTGATGAATATGTACGTTTTCCCTCTCCTTGAAGCTCGTGCACGAGGAGATGTTTGGCGTCCCCGTCGCTAGGCTAATTGTCGCCAATACCGATACTAATGCCCAACCAGAGCGACTCCTTCTTTACCCTCTTCTATCCAAAAGATCCTAATATCTGGAACGATCATATGGGCCCGTATGGCGCAATGGAGGCGTGGCTACGGGCAGATCGGCGTGCAGAACTTGCGCCATATATAACAGAGGAAGAACGCAGCGTTCATCAGCAGATTATGATTGGATACCATACATCCGCACTTAACTGGTATAAAGTATTGGCGGAGAACTTCAATCTACAGGATGAGCTTGAGGCTGGCTTGTCTGTCAAAATACCATGTCCTACTTTGATGGTCCTCCCACCGGCCCTCGCGGGTCAATTTGCGGAGAGTCCGACAGAGTCGAGTGAGATCGCGGATGATTTGACGATCAAGAGTGTCAGTACTCCTGGTCACTGGGTGCAAATTGAAGCTAGGGATGAGGTTAATTCTATGTTGCTGGATTTCTTTGAGAGGGTAGATAGTGGAGTTCTAGTGGGAGCATCTACAGCATAGTAGCTAGTCTTTATCTCAGCGTATTATCTCCACTCATGAAAGATCTTATAATACATCCTAGTATATCTCGCAGATTCAATTTGGTATATACCAAGGTTATTATTACAAACGTGTAGATCGGACGAGAAGAAGCGATGGAAAAGCCGGTTGGAGACATTGACGTCATGCAACCATCAAAGTAGATCGGTTGGGCCAAATGACATCGCCGCAATGGAATTCAGCTTTGTCTTCTTCACATCCCTTATTATTCCGACAAAAGAATACGAGTCCAGCTCGTATTTCCAGATATATTTCAGTCCTCCTTCAGCAACAGCTGACCTTGAAAATGGAGACTCGTCAGCGAGCCGCTCAGCCAGCCCAGCCCCCCAAGGAGGCAGCTTATGCGCAATCTTCAAACCCAGTGTCCCAGACACCACAAGAGCAGCGCGTTCCCGTGAAACCTGTCCGCCATTATGGAGATGCCCCCGCTGCAATTACGAGAACAGCCGAGTCGAAGCCATCCAGCGACGAGGCTCGAGCCCAGCTCGCCGAAGAGCACGAGCAGGAGACACGGAGGATGCAAAATGCCCCCGACACCGACTTGGAGTATGGAGTGGAACAACAGCCTTCCGAGGGGTATATCGCAGATTCAGTGGCGAAGAAAGGAATGGGGGTGCAACGAGCTCAGGCCGGTGCCCATGCCGGCCCTGTCGGAAGTGCAGAGGGACCTGGACACCCCGGTTTCCGGGGAGAGGAAGACCTGGCAGCACATATGAACCGCAAAAGAGAAAACCATGACAGAATATTGGACCAAAGGGCAGGGCAGACCCAGGCAAAGGCTGACTATGGAGTGGCGGAGAGGGAGGCCGTGAGACAACAGAAGCTAAGACAGAATGAGAAGATCGATGTCAAAGTGGCCGTCGGGGAAGCGACGGGGGATCCAGTCGTGGGTAGGTAGTCTTGTGAAGATATAGTCGCTTCAATATACAATTATTGCGAAATTGCGAAAATCGCGTGTGAGCTTGAAGATCAGATGTCGGTGTCGCCAGGGAGGCCGGCGGAGACCTTCTTCAGTTCGAGATCCTTCTTCAACTCCTGGATGCGTCGGCTCATCTTTTGGCGCAAAATTGCGTTCTGCACCTTCTCCCATTGTGCTGTTTCGTTCTTGATGAGGTTTTCTAACTCGGCAATCTCCTCGCGATGCTGCTGGAGGAGTTGTTGTTGTTCGACTTGGTCGTCGTCCAAATCCTCATCTTCATCTGAAACGTCACTCTCCCCTGAAGAGTAGCCTGGTCCGGCCGGGGTCGAAGGTTTAGCAGACGGTGTCCCTTCCTGTTCGGGACCTCCATTGGCGGTCGGGGGTGGCTGATCGTCATCACCATCGCCCGCGAGGGCAGCCTCGAGTTCACCAGCGAGGTCGTCGTCAAAGTCATCCATCATCTCATCCTCCACCTCACCTTCAGCATCCTGTTCGTCATCGTATTCCTCATAGTATTCGTCGTTGTTGACGAAAGATTCACCGCGGTTCAAGGAGGAGCTATCAACCACCTCGAATCGAGGAGGGAAGACCGACTCCTCATCTTGAGCGACCAGATCCTCAACTGATTTCTCGACTTGCTCAATAGTGCGGGCACTGAGGCGGTCACGGAATCTGCGCTTGCGAACCCAGCGCAGCGGTGGTGCTAGACCATGGGGATATTGAAGTGTTTTCGTGTCTGGTTGTAAGACTTCCTGGGGCACCTCGTGCTTCATAGCTTCTTCCTCGTTGGCAACTGGGCCCAAGACCAGGAGCATTTGGGATATATCGGCTGATTTATACCACCCCCGACGATCCCAACTCTTCATACCTTCGGTAATTGTAGGAAGGTCGACCATGGCGGCGGCATATTGCTTGTCGCGGATTTTCAGGATGGCACGTCGAGCGTCGCGGGTTAGAGGTTTGAAGGAGAACTCGGACTTGTCAAATTTCCTCTCGGTAATAGCTTGACGGAGATATTCGCAGTCGTCGCCGGGTAACATTCGTAGGATAAACTGCTCCTCAATCGCTGGGTCTGCTTCCGTATCCGACGCTTCTGAATCGTATCCCACGCCGACTGGCCGGGTCGGCACTGTTTGTTTATTCTTGATGCGAATCGATTGGAGGCCCGGTTTCTTGGAGGGGTTAAGCTTGAGTCGCTTGGGTCCAAGCTGGGTGGTCGGCGCGGGTTCAAGCTGCGCGACATTGTCGGCAGGTCGCTTCTTCGTCGAAGCTTTCTTCTTCTTTGGTTTCTCCTTCTCGGTGGTTGGAGGATCAGGTTGAGGATTGGCT